TCAAATATAAAATTGTGCTACAGATTGAAGTTACTGATTTAAAATTTCTACTTTTAGTATTTTTTACCTAATTCTGTTAGTAAGAAAATTGTTTAATATTAGGAAACCTGCCAGTATAATCTATTACATCAAACATGAGGTAAAGAATATGACCATGCTGACAGAAATTGCAATACATATGACTGAATTCAATATCTACTTAGAAAACCTCAATTAGTGTGAAGAAATGGATTGTTATTTAACATAGTAAAGATGATCTGGACAGGATAGATACAAAATAGTATCTATCTTAAATAATAGCCTATGTCACATTTGATGATGACACAAAGATTGCCAATAAATTCGAAACAAGATATGGATCTCATTTTGACTACTACTGATACTATAGATTTTACTTGATTTAAAATTACCAATTACTTTTTTAAAAATTAATGTATTTTATTGAGGTGACAGTGGTTTACAATACTGATATGATACAGAGATTTATTTCTACTTTAAATTCAAATAATAGACATCTTCTTTCCCTACATTCTCCAAAAATACACCAAAAACTCTCTGGGACCCCCCTTTTGATTAGTACGCAGAACTGCTCATGAACTGGTATTACTCAACACACGACGAGTAATCGGATTCCTGAGCAGAATCACATTACAGCCTTTTCAGCGGAGTTGGAAAACTACCAACTGATTATTTCCCCTGCTGTGTATTCACATCGGGCATTCAGAGAGGCAAGTCCTTGGAAGTGATGCCTAAAAGTGTGACATCTCCGAGTGCCTGGTGATGGCAACAGAGATTCTGAAGTGGTTGTTGAGAGACTAGAGGAAAATGAACAGTTTCCGTCTTGAACAGAGAGCTGCCCCTTCTTCCTATCTTCCAACTTGTGTTTTCTGGATCATCTCTTAGTCACTGAAATACCCCTGTTATTATTCCCATGTGGATTTATTTCCAGCCACAATGTAAGAAGTAAGCAATTTTCCTTTTCTCAACTCTTCCATTTTTGCTTTTCTGTCCCATCATGCCAAGAATAAAATATATGTAACCCTCAGATCATGACCTTTGGCCAGTACCCATAAATGTGAAGTTTAAAAAAAATGGTAAATTCAGGCCAACTGTTGCACTGACTCTCATATCTTGAGAAAAAATGACTTAGGGGATATCATTTTAGGAAAAGAAAAAAAAACTCAAATATCTAAAATGATATGATAGGTCTATGCAAAGAAGTCAGTGCACTGGCAAAATGGGGAAATGATTCCTATATCTGGGGGGTATAGAATTTGTTGAAATTATTTTACTTTAATTTAGCAACTTTTCTTGCCTTCAAGTGATGACTAGAACATCTGAAAGAGTTTATACAATTTAACCTTAATAGCCAAAATGATAGACTTAATTATAGTGTACTTTTTCCTAAGTGTTTGCAATCATTTTTGCTACATATGGTTTAAAGTAAATATAGTTTGTGAGGTACAGAGAAACACAGAACTTAAGTCAGTGTCTCTACATAAACCCTGAATCATGAATGTCATGATATGTTCAGTTTGAAAAATATTGCTTTAAACACCTTTAAAAAGATTTGAATGAAAATGAAAAGGTCAATATTATGCACCAAGGTGTTAAACTCCAAAATGGCCCCGAACACATTAAAAAATAAAGTAGCCATTGAGAATTAAGCTTGGTAACAAGCTTTGATTTTTCAAAAACTAATAAACAGTAAAAAATTATCTCTCTCAAACCATAGTAACAGCTCTCATTTTCTTGATTCATTTTTGCTGCTCACAAATACCTAACATATGAGTTCTGTGGGAGAAAGAAAGAAAGAATTAAAATGAATTAGTAGAAACATATTGTGTTACATCTCAGGTTTGTGTAATCCCTGGATGGCAGTTAGTTGTGTTTGTTGCACAGGCTTCAATATAATTAGCCTGATGTTATTCCACTGGGAAGAGGCTGCTTCATCTCCAGCAAACCTAAGGATGAATGAGACAAACATGTAGGTGTGATGCATCTCTTGTAATTTGTGTATCTAAAGTCTCATTATTCAAGGGCCTTCTTGGCTTCAGAAAAATAAGAGTCTTGAAGGAAAGTTTACTTGTTTGCAGGTGTTCAGGAAGAGCTGGAAATCCATTCATTTCAAAATGCAGAAAGAGGTTGCTGTAGGTTTAAAAAAATATATTACAGTTAATTTTATTGATTGATTGACTGCCATTTGGAAGTGCTTGGCCATCAAACAGAGTTGGAAATAAGTTTTTTCACTAATTTACATATTTCAACTCCCTATGTAAGAGTCAATTGATAATTTCTGATTTGAATAAATAATAAAATTCAGAGACCAGTTAGATCCAGGGTAGGTATAAACTAGAAATTTATATGTTAGAGATTTGAGTTGGGTGGATTAGCCTTTTCCTTTCTTACCACTTCTGAGTAGACAGTGTGTGTTTCTATTTTCTGCTTTTGTAAAAAGAATCAGTTATGTAGCTATTATTTCATGAATCAAGGACTATCTAGGCTGTCAGAAAAATGTGTGTTATGGATAAACATCATTTTCATATAGCATTTTTGAAAGAGTTATTCTGGCTGCTGGGCTGGTGAATAGATGGCTTCATGAGCTCCATATTAACAGGATTAATTGCACTGATTGAACACAATCTACCAGCCAGCATGTGGGTGCCTTATGGTATTTTTGTTTGGTGTCATGGAGTTAAGGAGGCTTCAGGGAATTGTGTTGATATCATCAGTTAATTTGTGGCAAGAGTAATTTTCTTACCTCCTGGCATCTTATTATTTTGAAATAATTATGATAATTATTAAAATTTTAATGATTGATTTATGTTCCTTTAGGCTTTTCAGCTTCTGTGATGAAAATTTTTATAACTAGGCTATTATTTTCCTTTACCAAAAAGTAAATAGAAATAAAAATGTCCAGTGATGATCTCTATTACAATAAGGTGTAAATGGGGCTGTGATATAGTTCTTCATGGGCGACTATTTAAGGGAAGGTTTTCATCATAATTGGTTAGGACTTCCAATTGTCCAAATGATTATTGGCCCTTCAAAGAGGTTATTTATAGAAGATTCTGTATTTATTCACATAACATCTTAGAATACTTGAACGAGTTCTAGAGTACATTTAATCTGCCCCCCTCTTTTTCAAACAATTAAAAATTCAAACTAAACCAAAGAGAAAGTGTCCTGATGGTGAAAACCATGGCTTTAAGTGTTTCTGAGATGCTTTTAAGAGAAGATCTCAAACTACTGGAAGCAAAGCTGTTTCATCTTTCTATATTTCATTTTTGACCCACCAAGTTTTTAGCCAGTTTAATCACTTTTTCTATTTTTCAAAGTTAGATGTGAACAGCTCTTAAGTGGTTAAATGAAGTCAAAGAAAAATTGAGATCATTTGGAATTTTGGAACATTTCTGCTTTACTTTTTAATTTAAAAAAAATAATTATTTTATCCTTTGCTGTATTATTAAGAGAAGAGTACAGTCATCCAGGGTGACAGTCAAATAATACTCAGTTTTATTTATTAAAAATCAACCATAGTGGGGCCTCCCCTGGTGGCGCAGTGGTTGAGCGCTGGGCTGCGAAGCTGCCCGCAGCCTCTGCAGCACCGGTTTGATCCCCTGCTGCCAGCGAGGGTCCCACATGGAACACAGACGTCTCCTGCTGCGCCCGCTGCTCCCCTCAGCAGTGTGTTTCATTGGTCTGCCTGTTCTGTTCCCTACTCTGGCTCTGGTGAATTCTCTCACCCTCCCGGCTTCTGACTGTACCCAGTGCTTGTATAAATAAATAACTAAATCTTTAAAAAAAAAAAAAAAGAAAAGAAAATTCAACCACAGTAACATTGTACGGCTTACCATAGGATTTGGGTTTGACTGCTTTAATTAGCTAGGATTATCCTTAGAACATCATCTCTCCATTACACAGGGAACTAAAGCCTTTCCAATCATGGTGTTAGTAAATTGCTGGGTTGGTCCACACTACGTTCTTGGGCCCCTCTGCATCTGCATTCTGGATGGAGTTGCAGCTCTTTCAGCAGCCAAAGGGCAGTCACAGTCTGTTCACTTTTCATCAGGCACTTCTCCAAATAGCATCATGTGACCAAAAGAAAATAGAAATTCAGTATTAGCTTTGGAAATCTCTGAATTTCTCATAAAAAATACTTCCAGAAACATTGTTGAGAAGAGAATTCAAGATACAGAAAAAAGGTTTGGTGAGATAATTTCCCAATTCTATTTCAATATCGTGGTATTCTCAAAAAAATTCTTTCTATGCCAGTGGTGGTGGTCTCGTCATCTGCTTGACTCATTTTCATGCTATGCATTACAAAAATTTATCTATTGCAAAAGCCAGTCCATTCTGTAGGCAGGTATTAGAGTCTTTTCTTACTGTGATATAGTTTATTTCACCAGTATAAAGCATTGCTATTAGAAATTCTGAGAAAAATATATTAGAATCAGAAATTTTATAACACTGTAGTTTTCAGAGAGCTCCAGCTCAATTACTCTAACTCTGAGTAACTTCCTAGGTGGTTAGTATGGCTTCCCTCTTCCTTCCCTTCTGCTTGTTCTGTTTGCTGCATTTCACTGATTTCTCTGACGGGAGGTCAAGATGGCAAAGAGAAACGAAAAACATTTAATCAAATAGAGAAATATATGAAGGGGGACATAATATGAAAATACAAAAAGACAAAAATTGTGATTAAAAAAATTATATAGACAAACATAAATTTTCAGCAGGGAATTATTTGAAGATATATGTTAAATTAAAATAAAATGAAAGATTCAAGAGGAATAGAGGGTTTCTGCTTTTGTCAATCTCTTTTGGTGTTTGTACCTTAATAATTCTCCAATAAAACTCAGTTAAAGCCTCTGAGTAAGGCACCCTGCATCATAAATTCAGTCTAGGTGATCATTTGGAATTTTGGAAGTCGCAAAAATTCCAAATTATCAGCCAGTTTATCTTAATTCTGCTTAGTTCAATATCTTTTTTTTTCCCCTCAGTAAATTCTGTGAATGGACTGCCCAGGCTAAAGAATTATGAAGTAATTTATCCTCAAAGACTTCATCCAGTGTATAAAAGAGAAGTCAAGGACCCAGATCAAATGGTAAAGCTTTTGATTTAACAAAGAATCTCTATATAATATAGAAATATATTATGGTTGCATGTGCATATATCTACACTTATATGTATAATTTGCTTGCTTTTGACCTATTTTTATTAATCTCCACAATAACCTAATGCTCTGTTATTATTTTCATTTTTCAAATTAAGTTTCTGGCAGTTGAAATAAATGGTATAAAGTATCACACAGAGAGTAAATTTTAATACCTTTATAGAAATTTGTGATTTATTTCATGAAGTTCCAAAAAAAAGAGACAAAGCATTTTATCTACCTATCCATCCATACAAACACAGCTATGAACATAAAAATCAAAGATAAAAATAAAATATTGTAGATTAATTCATGCATACACATATATGAAATTCACATCTGCTCTTTCTAACTGGGTTATTAAAATTTGCATAATTCTTGCCACTTAGTGAACCTATATATTCTTAGTCAAAATTTACTCAACAGACATTTATTGTAAAAGAAAAGTTTAAACATCATGATTCATTCAACAGCAATTTTCTAATTACCTACACCCAAAATTCTGCGGGGAGCCAGGAAAATACAGACAAATGAGACATAAATAATAGCTTGCAGAAATAAGTTAACTCACTGGAGGACCTGTTGCTCTACTAGACAAGATTTTACTTAGATTATTTCTTCCAAAGAAAACACGTTTATAACAGCATAACCTTGTTTATAACAGTAAACCTTGTTTCCCAAAATAATTATCTTTCCACAAAATACTAACACCAATTGAGACCCACATGCATTAATATTCCCATCCAGACAACTGTCTTTAACTGCTTTCTGGTAGTCTCTTAAAATATCACATCTTTTTTCACTGAATATTTTGAAGAAAAGTTGAATATAGTTCTAGAGTTTCTTTTTTCACTGATATTTATTTTATATCATTGTTCATTTTTAAACAATGTTTGCTTCACCCCACCCCAGGTGTAGTTCCCATAGAGTTTCCTTCTCTAAGGCACCTGTGCACCATCACCTCAGTCCCCTGTGCTCCTCCCTTCCTCCCTCTGATCCCTCTCCCTCCTCCTCCCCTGCAGTATGCCCCTGATTTATAAGTGTCTGTTGCTTTGTTGTATATTGTACTGTTATTATTCTTTCACACTGATGTCTTACTTATAGTCCTGCTATAAGTGAAACCACCCAATCTTTTTCTCTTTCCTTTTGACTTATTTAACTGAGCATAATTCCTTGTAACTACATCCATCTTGCTGCAAATGGCAGTATTTTATCTTTTTTGATTGCTGAATAGTATTCCATTGTGTATTGCAGCACTATTTATAGTAGGTAAAATCTGTAAACAACCCAAATGCCCAAAAATAGAGGACTGGATAAGAAGATGTGGTATATATATATACAGGTCTAGAGTTTCTACTCACAGTTACAAAGCGATTTCCTTCCAACTGGAAAAGACAAATTTAAGTGTTTGACTATTTTGATGACAAGCCACAGAGTAGTTACTGGTACATACTGGATCATCTAATTTAAATTTTTGTAATGATTGAGCAGATGGATGCAGTTGATACAATGTGCTTGTTATTTATTTCAAATACATTATTTAGCCTACTACTCAATTAACTGGCCATACGAACCTTATGTTTTCCCAATTCATAATTGAAAGTATAAAAGATCTAAATTGAGAGGTCTTATTTGTATGCAGGTCTTAGCTTTGCTAATTATTCCTGTGTTAATTTAGATACGCACAAGTTTCAATTTCTCTGTCTTAAACTTGAACTTACTAATAATAGTAACATCCTATATGACTGTGTTATGATATCATATATAAAAAGTGAGGCAGGAAGCTATTATTCATTATTTGTTCAAGATTATAGTATGACTGTCCTGTGTAACTCATCATCCACTTCATATGACTAACTTTTCAGGATCCTTGTACTTAATGCCTTGGATTATTAGATCATTTTGTTTTCTTTCTGCTTCTCTACATAAACTTGCTTTGCAGTCAGTCCCTGTATTCTTAAAGTCTTTCTTTATAATGTGCTCATTTCTAGCTCAATGGTCTTTCATATGGAATGTTGTCTCTACATAAAACTCAGTCCCATTATATTCCTTGTAAACTCAATGGAATATTCCTGAATCATGCTTCAGTCTTGATATTACCCCATTTGGCTCTTGATTTTTTTAAATACTGCTTTTATATTTGTAGAGCTGGTGTGTGAGTATGTGAATGCATGTCATCTCTCTTTTGTTTTGAAACTGCCCTGATCAATAAAATAAGTGTTTTATTTGTTTTTTTGATATGTCTGTTTCATCTTCATTCTCATTTCCTATCCCCTGTTCTACGAAAAGCATTCTATAAATGCTCATTGCTTTCACTGATTCAAAGTGGCCTTGAAAAGCACATCAATTTCATCTTTTACGAGAGATAAAATGTTAAACACAATCTCACAAAGTATCTAAGGAAAATTTACCTAATTTGAATGCTTTAATGTCTCTTTATATGATGAAACCGGGTTTTATTTTTTTTATAATTTTTTTAAGATTTGTTTTTATACAAGAACCGGGGTACAGGCCAGATGCGCGGGAGGGTGAGAAGATTCACCAGAGACAGAGCAGGGAACAGAACAGGCAGACTGATGAAATACACTGCTGAGGGGAGCAGCAGGTGAGATAGGAGAGGTCCACCTCACCATGTGGGATTCTCGCCGGCCTGCCGGGATCAAACCCACGCTGCAGAGGCTGCAGACAGCCTCACAGTGCAGCGCTCAACCACCTGCGCCACGAGGGAGGCCCTAATTTTATTTTTATGGTTTTATCTAGTATATTTGTAAGTTTCTCCTTGTCCCTTCAGCGTAGAAGAGACCATGTCATTGGACAGGCTGATATAATCAGATGAGCCCTAAGTGCTTCCACACCATCTCACAAACATATGCAAATCTCATGTTTACTTTTTAGTATGTAAGTGACATTGAGGTTCTCAGGTGCTGGTTGATGCCTTTGAGCATGTTCTCACAGCCAGTAAGTGACTGAACCATAAAAAGTAACTTTGGCTAGTGAAACATTCAAAAAGAAGTGGGCCCTTACTCTAGAACCTCATTCCTGTCTCCCAGTCACTCATGTCTAGTTCTTGAAATTTCTTACATCTGATGTGCTTTCTTCCTTGTATAGAATTGCCAGATTTAGCAAATAAAAACAACAGGCTATCCAGGTAAACTTGAGTATTATAAACAGTAAATGCTTTTTTTAGCTTAAGTATTCTCCAATATTGAATGGGTCATACTTATATTTTTAGAAATATGCACTGTTCATGTAACATTCAGAGTTAACAGACACCCTATATTTTGCTGGAAAATCCTACCATGTAGTTTAATTTTTCTTTCTTTGAACATTCAGAACTAAACTCTGGCAGTGTCTCTGTGATTCTAGTCCCTGTTCCATCTATAAACACCAGGGCAATTGTTGTCCCCCACTGGCCAGTGCCTGACATCTCAGTCCTGCCCTGTCACTTACTGAGTCCCTCCACATCATACTTGTGTTGCAAGCATAGACTACAGATTCTAGTGACATCTTGTCTACCACTCAGCACACACATCCTTTCCCCTGACATAGAATCTTCTTTTTATTTTGTTCAGGCACAGCTTATGACTAATAAGAGCACATAGGCTAAGTTCTTGGGAATTATCCTGTGGTTTCTTTTTTTTTTCTTTTTTTCTTTATACAAGCCCTGGGTATAGTCAGAAGTGTGGGAGGGTGAGAGAATTCACCAGAGCCAGAGTGGGGAAAAGAACAGGCAGAATGAGGAAGAACACTGCTGAGGGGAGCAGTGGGCGCGGCAGGAGAGGTCTGCGCACCTTGTGGTACCCTCGCCAGCAGCCGGGGATCAGATCGAGCCGGGGATCGATCCAGCGCTGCAGAGGGTGCGGGCAGTTTCGCAGTCCAGCGCTCAACCGCTGCGCACCAGGGGAGGCCCTATCCTTGTGGTTTCTATGTTGAGACTGTTGGTCTTCCTTGTGCAATGAATAGATTGACAATTACTGTTAACATCCAGAACTCATAATGCAATGTGAACACAGTGGCCTCTGCATTCCATGCTTGCTGCATAGGTCACTTCTCAATGCAGTGAAGAAAAGGACTCTTGTACTCGTTACACAACCCTGCCCTCTACTGGACCAGAGAACGAGACATTGGCATTGCCAGTGAGCTGTGCCAACACCTTCATCACCCAGGATCACTTTGCTTAAGATGTGGCCTAGAGTGAGATAATCTTTTGCAAAAACTTACTAAAAGGTGCATTAAAGACCAGAGTAGAACCGAAAATATTTTATTTATGGCCATAAGTTTTATTTGCATGATATAAGAGGAACTAAATATTTTTTTAATAAATGAGCAAATAAATATGTAAACAAGTGAGTGAATGAGTAGCCCTTAAAATGTTAGGCCAAATATTGTTACTTTTATTACATATCTTTCCACAAGATTATAAGCTTCCTAACAGGTACATTTTTTTCTTTCTCAGAGTTGAATTTCCAGAACCAGTCAGTCTTGCTTATAACCAGCACTTAAACAATATTTGTTGAATGGATGGGTGGGTGAATAGATAGTTGAATAAATATATGGATATAAAGGTTTCAGATTTGTCCATTTAGTCGGCAGCTTTATTTGATGTCTCAAAAGAGGTAGAGGTATATATTTAGTATATATAGACTGATATTAAATAAAAGCAGGTATTCTTCACCAATGATAAAACCGATGGACTTAGACAAATGAATATTTGTGTATGTTTTTAATTACCAGTAAATGTGTATATATTTTTGCAGGAAAAATATGAAACTGAATTGAAATATAAAATGACAGTAAATGGCAAAATTGCAGTGCTTCACTTGAAAAAAACCAAGTAAGTCTATTCTGATATCATCCTCATCAGTAGTAAATTAGCATATAAAAATTGTGCTAATTGTGTCTGTTACTGCTTATGGCTTTTGCCAACCTTGGCTCATCAGTTTTTGCTCTTAATACGTTCAAAGTGTTTTTAGCAAATATTTGTTCTTACATATGTAGTAGAAACACATTGGATAAAACAAAAGTTTACTATTGTTTTTATACTTCTAGTAATAAAACACAGGCAGACATGCATTTGATAAAATTCGATGAAGTATCAGAGAAATAGGTCTCAGTGCACTTTGCTGTGATTTTTAAATCTACCCATAGAGCATTGTATTTTATAATTCCAACAGTGAAAATTAAGATTTCAAAATCATTTTGAAATGATTGTCAGGATTGATTTGGGCTCTATTGATTCCATTCTGAGGGCTCTTTCTATCCAACTACCCACTAATTTTTTTAAGATTTATTTAATTATGCATACAAGAAATGGGGTACAGGCCAGAGTTGCAGGGTGGTGAGAGAATTCACCAGAGACAGAGCGGGGAGCAGAACAGGCAGACTGATCTAAAACACTGCTAAGGGGAGCAGCAGGGGAGACAGGAGAGTCAGCCACGCCATGCAGGGCTGGGATTGGAACCCAGGCTGCAGAAGCTGCAGACAGCTTCACAGTGCTGTGCTCACCCGCTGTGCCAGCAGGGAGGCCCCCAACTACCCACTAATTGTCCATTTTTCTCTCACATTACATTGCCATCATACCCCTTTATTCATTTCATCCAAATTAAACTATTCTCCTCAAACTTTTCTGATCATCTCTATCGCAGACCTTGGTCATCCTATATCTAGATGGTTTCCAAAGTAATTTTTCAAATTATGTGCTCAATCTCTTAATCCCTAATTTGTTCTATATGTAAAACAACATATTTTTTTTATTTGAATGGATCATCACCTTTTGCAAAAATTCACAACTTGCTGGAGCTTGGAAACTGTACTTTAATGGAAATAAAACAGGTCTTTGATTCAGGCAAACCTGGATGTGATCATTTGCACTTGAATTATTTAATCTCATCTGAAAAATAAAAGAGTAATATTTATCTCTTAGAATTTTTGAAAGGAATAAGTTAACCTAATCTAACCTAGCAGCCAGTGTACATGAGTGCAAACTAATTAGTTCATTTCCTCCTTGTCCTTCCTCTTTTAAAATACATATATCAATATAAAGTAAAAATCAAAATCAACAAGCAACTATAAACCAGAGACATACTATGGGGGTGGGGTGGAAGGAGGGGTGGGAAAAGGAAGGACTAGAGTCAAAATAAGGGGGGGTGCAATTGTATGGGGAATATAACCAAAATGAAAATGCATACATTGTGCAAAGATGAAAAAAGATGTAAGAATTATATAAAATAAAATATTTAAATTTTTTAAAAAGTCAAAATATATATATATATATATCAATTGTATGGGGAATATAACCAAAATGAAAATGCATACATTGTGCAAAAATGAAAAAAAAAAAATAATAAAATATATATTCAGACTCCTATTTTCTGAAAGATTTTCAAAATTTTTTAATTGTTTATTTCAGCATTTTTTCCTTAAGAGTTGTTTTCAACTCTTATTTTTGTTTCAGTACAGTATGTATGTCCCTGCAAGAGGCTTGCTGTCTTTTTTTACTAATTACAACTACCAGCAGTCACCTGATGCATTAGTTAAAAATATTTATTTTATATAAGCTCCAGTATTTATTACAATCATAATTTTAGATGCTTAGTGCAAATGCTGAAAAGACCCTACCTACCAAAGCAAATTAACTTTCAATCAATTTAACCCTGTTATTAGTTACTAATGGGAAAGTAAAAGCGCAGTTACCCAAACAGTTGAAGAAGATTGCTCTTCTCAATAATTTTTATAATCTGCCTTTCTTAGTTTCCCTTTTATCCTTTTATCCCTTTTATCCTTTTATCCAAATTTCCCTTCAGACAAATAAAATAAGCAAGTCTTTTTTTGGGGGGGAAGTATATATTGTTCTATAACATTTAGGAATGTCCCTGTCTGTATTATTTTAAGCATCACATTGATGGTTGGACTTGTTTTGGGGATGTAGGACTTGGAGCTCAGGAATTAAAACTTTTATGCACAGCCAGTGAAAGTTCTCACTTTGATCGCTGGACTTTGTAATTTTCCTGAATAATCATGACTTCTTTTTCCCTCTCAGTGGTCTCCTTGCACCAGACTACACAGAAATACATTATAATTCCACTGGCAAGGAGGTTACCACAAGCCCGCAGATCATGGTAAGATCATTTCCTAGATTTATTGAAAGATGGTGTTATTTCCAGACAAATAATGAAAATAATATTTGCATTTAAAGTGGTGCTTTGCTCAATAGCAATAATTACTTAATTGATCCCCTTCGACACAGTGGTTTGATATGAACAAAGGCATATCTCGACAGCCTTCAAGAACTCTCTGCAAGAGAGTGGGCAGAAGGAGCTGTTACTTTTATTAGAAAAGTTAAGAACTAAACACATCTCATGTTCTTAGTACATGTTAGCTTAGTAAGATCATGTAGTCTCCCAGACTCAAGACCATTTCCTCAGTGGTAGAATTGGTCAATTTCTATGTTTTTTCCAAAATAATTTCCACACTTGAATTTTATTCAGAGCAGATGTAAAACAGAATGAGAGATCGTTCAACACTGTCATCTTTTCTGAGTTCCATTTTTTTTTTATTGGAAGCTCTTTGAACATTCCCTTTTATATCAAAATTTACATGGACCATAACTTCATCTAAGCAAAGTAGAATGGTGTCCTTGACTGACGTATATCTACAGAAAAAGGTGTTCGGATAGGCATTTATAGGCATTTTGCTTCAGATGGAGGCAGGGGATGTTGTACTGATCCAGTTAACCTGGTGGAATTCTTCAGATGAATCAATGAATTCAACCACAATCTGAATAACTCATCCACTGGGAAGAGCTCATAGTTTAAAAAAATGAACAGTTTAAGGGAAAAAATAATGCCTGATTTGGAGGAGCTCAGGGTTTTTTTAAGCTTACAGATGTAAATTTGTTTCTTTCAGACCATATTCACCCCTGCTGTGCAACTTCAGCAGCACCTATACCAACATTTAGTTAACACTCTAAGTATTTTGGGATCATTAAGTAAATATTAAAGATTTTAACAAGTAAAAGCTTTAAAATATTCTATTTTTCTAAGTTGACATTTGTTCAGTATAAAGTGGTTTAAAGGCACTGTATTTCCTTTTTTTTGAGAATTTAACTTCAAATTTAGCCATGGGTCTAAAAGTATGCACACTTTCCTTTGCAAAATCTCTTTTCCTTTTTGTTTTTTAGGATGATTGTTATTACCAAGGGCATATCCTTAATGAAAAAGTTTCTGATGCTAGCATCAGCACTTGTAGGGGCCTAAGGTAAGACATCCTAAATGGATTGTGTGTACCTGTGATGATGGGAGGAGGATGTTTCAATAAATCTGAACAATTTCAAACATGATTTACTACAGTTGAGTGTGAATCCTAGGATCTCAAAAAATTTGAAATTTGAAGGAGACACGGCTTCTCTTGACAGTGGTGTGTAAATTACACATCCACATTGTTTGCTGTGTTGTTGTTTGCTTATGTTCAAAATGGAGGTTTCTTTAGTATAAGTTTTAGAGTCAAGATTTTTAGGGAATGGGGCCTCTCTGGTGGTGCAAGGGGTTAAGCACCGCGCTATGAGGCAATCAATCCGTAGACTCTGCAGCAGGAATTCGATTCCCGGTTGGCCAGGGAGCAACCCACATGGCGCAGCAGACCTCTCCTGTCTCGCCAGCTGCTCCCCTCAGCAGTGTACTTCTGTCAGTCTGCCTGTTGTGTTCCCTACTCTGTCTCTGGTGGGTCCTCTCACCCCCGTATCTCTGGCCTGTACCCCAGCTCTTGTATGCATAAATAAATAAATCTTCAAAAAAACAAAGATTTTTAGGGAATGGGTGTCCCTCTTCATCTCTCCTCTCCAAGTCTCAATTCTCTCTGTTGTTCATCCTGTCTATGACAAGGACATCCAGTTTCTCTCTACATGTTAATGACCCACTCTGCATCTGTCTACAGCAGGAAATGCCCAGAATTGATTGTCTAATGTCCTCATCCAAACCTCCATATTTCTTCCATATCTGGATATTTCAATAAAAATTGCAATCATAATGTACTTCATATCAAACTAATGATTTACTTCCAAATCTTTTATTTTCCAGTGTTCCCTGTCTCAATGAATGGTATAATAAATTAATGACTTATACTTCCAGAAACTTAGTGCCTTGATGATTTCTAGTCATCAACCTAGATTTTTCAATCTAGTATTAAGTCCTGTTGATTTTATGTTCAAAATATTTCCAGAGATTAGGCATTATATTCTCTCTCTACTTCCACAACCTCATCCAAGCTATCATGATCGTTTTTGCAAATGATTGCAGTCAACCACTTATTTCTTCATATCCACTCTTGTTGGCTTCTAAGTGCCTGTACATTTAATCCAGTCTCCTTTTTATATGCTGTTGTACATTTTCTTCCTAGCAATATAGCATAATTAAATTGTATGTGTATATATGTAGATATATGCTTCTATATCTATATCTATATATATATGAGTCAGGTCAGATGCAATTATTTGATCTATATCCATCTTCTTCATTGGAATATAAGGTCTGGAGAAAGCATGAGAGGAGATACCGGGACTTTTTTTTAAACCATCTGCCTATAGCTCAATGCCTAATGTATAATGAGGGCTCCAAAATATTGGTGGGATGAACCTTAGGTCAGGGCTTCATTAAAAAGAAGTAGAAGAAATTGATAACGGACATTGATCCCATATTTACATACTGTGTCCTTCAATATTGGCAACCATCCTTTTAGGTTGGTTTTTTTTTATTATTATATAATTTATTTATTTTTATATATTTTACGTCATTGTTCATTTTTTTTACAGTGTTTGCTTCTTTCCTCAGGTGTAGAATTTAATATAATTTCCACCACCAATTTACCTGTGCACCATCACCATAGTCCCTTGTGCTCTTCCCTCCCTTGTTTTGATCCCTCTCCCTCTTCCTCCCCTGCAGAATGTCTCTGATTTATAGTTGCCTATTTATTTTTGTTTTGTTGTGTTTTTTTATTGTTACTATTTTTTCCCCCTGGTGCCTTATTTGGTTCCCCTATAATTCCTCCTATAAGTGAAACCATCGATATTTTTTCTTTTCCTTTTGACTTATTTCACTGAGCATAATCCCTTCTAGCTCCATCCATGTTGCTGCAAATGGCATTCGTTTATCTTCCATTGTGTATATATACCACATCTTCTTGACCCAATAATCTATTTTTGATTAAGTTGGTATTATTGTTATTATCATTTCATAGATGGAGAAACTGAGGCTCTATGATTTTAAGTAATTTTCCCATGGCATCACAGCTAATACGTGAAGACTCAGAATTTTAACCCTTACTGAGAGACTCCAAAGTCCTTCTTATTTATTTTTTTTGCACTTTGTTTTTATTTTATTTTATTTTATACATCATTTTTCATTTTTGCACAATGTGTGCATTTTCATCTTGGTTATATTCCCCATACAATTCCCACCCCCTTATTTTGACCCCAATCCCTCCTCCCCTCCCCCACCCTGATTCCCTGTAATCAGGGAAATGCAAATCAAAACTACAATAAGACACCATCTTACACCAGTGAGAATGGCACATTTAAAAAAAAAATAGCTACAACAAATGTTGGCGAGGATGTGGAGAAAAAGGAACTCTCCTGCACTGCTGGTGGGAGTGCAAACTGGTCCAACCACTTTGGAAAGTTGTGTGGAAATTCCTCAGCCTGCTAAATATGGACCTTCCATATGATCCAGCAAAGTCCTTTTTTATTTTCAGTGCACCTTACAGCAGACATAGCATATGGAATGGAAGAACACTGAGAGTCAGGAAAAATCTATTCTGGTGCCAGCTCCAACACAGTTAACAATATGATATTGCAGTAGTCACTTCTCCCAATAGGTCCATTTCCTCATAAAGAAAATGAGTACAGCTAATCTCTAAGGGTATCTTCAACTACATTGTTACACTGCATTCTTCTGCCATGAACTTGAAATATTTGACATTGATGGCTTTTTGTGAGCCACATGTCTATGGAACTAAAATGCAGGAATAATTTTTAAGAAGCCTGCATTCTCACATTTTTTTTAGGGGTTACTTCAGTCAGGGAGATCAAAGGTACTTCATTGAACCTTTAGGGCCCACAAATCAAGATGAACAGGAACATGCACTCTTCAAGTATGATCCTGATGAAAATACTAATGGCACCTGTGGGTTGGATGACACATTATGGACACATGGATCTCGGCGGAATGTGGTCGCACCTGCCATCAGTCTTGTTGTATGTACATATTTATTTTTTACTTGCAGTCATTTCTTGTGTCCTGTCCTAGATGACCTGAGTTCTGATCTTAGCATCTGCAGTTGACTAAACTTTAAAGTCTTTTTTTTTAAACTAATAGGCTATAGAGACCCCGAAATCTTGTGTATTGAATATCTATTCATTATTTCATCTATTAGTAGCAACAATGTGTAAGTAGTAAAAAGAAGTATTAGGTATAATGCTTGCCCTCTAGAAACAAGCAACTTTCTACACATACCTTAGTGTTCATAATACTATAACATGTAACAAAGGTATAAATTATTATTGTTACTTTGGAATAAAATATCTTGCTGTCTTCACCAATGAACTCAATCAACAAATATTTCGTAAAGTGCTGCAGTGTTGCTGGGGATGTAGTGATAAGCAAAATAAAAGCAGAATTGAATTTGCCCAAAGGAAGTTAGAATATATGCTTTATATTTTCAGTGCTGCTTCTAGTCATAGAAGAAAAATGAGTGTGGCTTGTGTTTGAAGCAACAAAGTACATATAAAAAAATCTTTTACATTATTACCTTTATTTCCTTTAGGATTCATTTCATATTCAAATCTTTTCTAAATGTTCTTAGAATCCATAAGCACTGGGCAGATTGCTCAGAGTATAGTAAAATCTCCATTGGGTTCAATATGCTGTGGATTTAAATTCTGCCAGAGATGTCTAGGAACCCAGAAGAATCACTGTTAACTATGTGAATGTTGCTCTCCTGGTTAGCACGGCACAGGCCCCTGTACCCTCTGCCTCCCTCCTTGGTAACCACGTGCAAATAGCCTTGTTTTCATGATATCCTATCTTTTTTTAATTGGTTTGCCTCCTACATCTAACCTACTAGTACAACTCCTTCCCATTTCCTTTCACTGTTATCCCTCCTCTGGTTGAAGGCTAAATCTTAGAGCATTGCATACAGCTCAGACTTGGGTCCTCTTCTTAACTCATCTATATACTCTTTCTAGATAATCACATCCTGGCCTATTTAAATAGAAATGCTGAACTAATTACTCTCATATGTATATTTCTAACAGGCCTCTCTTCCGAGGTTCACACTGTTATAACTACATATCTCATGCATTCATTCAAATGTCTAGTATCACAAACTTAACATGGTCAAAATAGAAAGAGACTCATCTCCAAACCCCAAACAAAACCTGCGTCTCCCTGACTTTCCCCCATATCAGTTAGCAATATCACCAGTCATTATTTGTTCAGGCCAAAAACTAGAACCAGCAGCCACAGGGCACCATCTGTCTTACAGTAATTATGGTAGTGCCTCTTCTTGATTTCATCTCTGCCATTACTGCTTCAGTAGAATTCACCCCCACAGCAGGTGGAGTGATTCCTTTATTGTAAATCACATCATGTCACTTTTAAGTTTAAAGCCTTCTAATGATTTCTTAGAACACTTTGCACAAAATCAAAAATAACTGATCAAGTATTGCAAACCTCTGTTTTCTTACGGTCTCACCAAACTCTCTGATTTTATGGAATGCTGTGATACTGAGTGACAAGGAGTTATTTCATTACAGATGGCTAGGGAAATCTCTAAAGAGTTGGCCCTGAAGCAGACATATTAGTGTAAATGAGAAGTCAGGAGGAAAGAATAAGTTGCATATGTGTATAATTTATATATGTGTGTGTTTATATAAATAATATATTAACTATATTTATAATCAGGTGCATTATGTTCCAGGAAATAATCAAACAGGAAAAGAAAAGTATTTACCTGCTAAATGACAAGCACTTCCAGAAATGCAACATAATGAACTTTGATAGTTTATTATTAATTGTATTATGTATGTATATATCAATCTATATATAACTTTCCAATAGGATAATCTGGTATGAAACACAGGAGTGATTTTGGGGTTTTTTTGGGGGAAAAATAAACAGAAAAAGAGGATACTTGGAATGTGTGGAGAACTCCAGCTCTGCTGAGGAGCAGAAAGCAGAGGGTGAGTGTGGTGGTTCTGGGCATTACCCCACTGGTAAAAGAGGGGGCATTGTGAGGGTAGAAATAAGGACCTGCTTTAAAAACAGAAGGATGCTGAAGTCAAAGTTTGTCTATCTCATTGAAGGCTAGTGGGAAGGGTCCACTGTTCAAAAATCCAAAGACTTTGTATTTACTTCCAGCATCTCTGTTAATTAGATATTAATCATTTTAGCTCTGGTAAAAGGAGCCAGATTAGAATATCACAGGTTTCCATTCCAGGTCTAATATGCTAAAACATGGTAATAATTTTGATTGCTTAGAATTAAAATACTAATATTGTTTTCTTTTATTGTTAGATATCAACTAAGTTCATAAAATTATATGTTTCACATAAAAGAATGATGCTTGCAGAGAAAAAAATGTTGTCTTGGAAATTTCTCTTTTTATGTATATTACAGAACTTGAAAGACCGGAAGGTTAAGGAGCATAAAAAATATATAGAATACTATTTGGTCCTGGATCATGGTGAGGTAATTATAGCAAATAAATGTGTCTTTTCAAATTTCCTCTACATAAATATTTGTGTTGTCTTAGTCAGTAAACATATAGATCCGTTTCTAAAAATCATGAGATTTTTAGATAAGATATTGCATTTTATAAATTTTTCTGAACCTAGAAAATCTGACATGAATAGACTACTTGGGTTTCTCCTTTTTGAGACTATGAATAAATTTAAATTTTTGGCACTATATGCTCCTTATTGCCTTAAAAACTCCAAACTTAGCATTCAATTAAGTTTCTTTGTCATTTTGTTTTCCATTAAATAATAAAATCATTGATAACTTAAAATTTATGCTCTCACAGAATGGTAAATATAGAAGACTAAAGAATGAGATCTTCTGAAAAAAGCAACTTTATAGTAATATTATTTGTCTTTTTTTACAATAATGCTGATTCATATATTGAATTTTCTAAACCTGAGGTCCACCTGTGTGATCTCCAAAGGAAAAATAATTGTGTGATGATAATTGAGAATATTAGTTAACTCAGGAAGTAAACTTTGGCCTATCTTTTTGCACTAAATTCATTTACTGTTCATGTTTTTCTATGAATAAGCTATTTCTTGCATTAATTTTACACAGCTTAGGAAGCCATAATAGTTAACTGAAAACTATTTGAAATAATTCTTTAGGACTTTACACTGAGCCAGCATTTAAGAGAACAAAGCATCATCTATAATCCCGAAGTGTCCTAATTTAGCTAGAGATGTAATGATGCAATTTGTTTCTCACTTTTAGGTGCTAACTTTTATAATTGATCCTAAATAATAATCACCAATAAGTAATAAAAACCATATTTCATTTTTAACCTTTCAATTATATTCATTTTTATCAATCACCATATTTTGTCTTTCTTGTTTTTTTAGTTTAAAAAATATAATCAGGATCAAGAGGAAATAAGAAAGCGGGTGTTTGAGATGACCAATTATGTCAACATGGTATGATAAATTTTATTTATGTAAGTTTAACATTTTGCTAGTAGTTGTCATTGGATGTTTCTGTGAATCCTCAAAAGCAGGAAGGAGAGTCAACAATTCTGGGTAAATATCACTGATGGATTCTTGAAGGGTGACCATGACTTTTGCTACTGAATTGAATATTAATACTACAGGATAGGGACTTCTCACCTCCTTGTAACACGATTCTCAATCCATGAATTTATAGTGATTTTTTTTTAACAACTTTTTATTTTTCTGAAGTCCAGTAAGAAAGTGCCGAAAACAAAATCTGAGAAAGTCAATTAAAGGAAGAAAACAGAAAAATAAAAACAAAATAACCCAAACTCTCACATGGGAGCCTCTCACATATAGTTTTTCATTTAATCCATGGAACAGCTTTAGGATATTACTAAGCCTAAATTATAGCCAAGTAATTCAATGCTGAGAAGTAAAATTTGTGTAATATCGCAAAGATAGAAAATGGTAGAGGTAAAACTTGGACTTAGATTGGTCAGGTTTCAGCACCCATATTGATAATATAATTGTTGATGCTATGCTTTAAATATGATTTTATCCTCTAGTAGACCAAATCTAAAAAAAATGATTTCTATATTCCTTCTCATTAAATCTTGACTGTTAGTTTCATGTTAACTGAGTATATAGTTAGCCTACTTACTTGAAATGGGTGAATTACTTTGTGATAGCCAACAGATCCTCTAAGGAAAAAAAAAAAAAAAGGAATGAGGGAGGAGTCCATGACCAAGGTCACACCTCATTTTTTCACCCCAAAGATCACACTGGCTTCTCTTTGGAAACTCCAAGATTTGAGCATATTTTTCAATATTTACTTTTGGCCAAGTACTTTTTAAGCTCACAGAGAAAAAGTGGGGAATACAATGGACAAATTTCCATTCTTTCAAGGGTTCATTTTCCTTTCAGGAACTGTATTCTTCTTCAGAGAGAGAAACACAGCAAACTAAATAAATAGTATGAAAATAGTAATATGTGCAATATAGGTATATATAGCAGCGTTTAAAAAAGAGGGAGATTGAGGTTGGAGGATGGACAGGACAAAACAGAGACGGGACAGGGCATAGGTTGTTCTGTTTGAGGTACAATGGGAAGGCCCCTGTGGCTGGAAAGTGGTGATCCAGAGGGTGGGAGGCGAGGACTTCGGAAAGGTGGCAATTGCTAGGACATGAATGTTGGGGTGGGTGTGTAACCACTTTGCTATTGTAGGTGACTGAGGAAGACACTGAAGCATCTGAGCTTGTGAGGCTGCATGCTCAAATGTGTGTTCTTAAATTGTCATCTTGGCCATCATATTGAAAATACTGAACGACAGCAAGGGCAGTAGCAAGACCAGATAAGGGAATGCACCATAGTTTCAGGGCAAGATATGCTGGTGGCCTGGTGACAGGCAGGTGAGAATGGCTCATCTCTGAATAAAGTCAACAGGGCCTATGGAATGAGAAGGATGTTAAGCAGTATAAGAAAGAGGTGTCATAGCACAAGGATTTTGGCCTAAGCAACTTTAAAAATGTGAACTAATGGTAGTTTAGAGGAAAGATTAGGACTTCCATTTCCAACATCCCCCCCTTTATACATTGTCTTTGGCTGTTTTCCTGGCACAGTGCCAGAGGTGGTGAGTAGTTGCCACACTGTCTCAAAGCTTAAGATACTTTTTATCTGGATCTTTACATAAAGAGTTTGCCAGCACTGGGGTAGATCACCAATGGGGAGGGTGCAGATAAGTAAACAAGAAACCCAAGGAGAATCATTGGAGTTTTTCTTGGAGGTGAGGTCAGACTGGGGGAGAGACAGACAGAGACCAAGAGGTAAGCAGTGTACAGGAGGAAAGGCAGAATTGAGTCTAATTTGGAAATTGCTTGAAACAGAAATCTGTCAAGGGGAAGAATGTTCAGTGATATTAGATGCTTCTGAGGACTGCATCTGGCCACTGAATTTAACAAAGGAAACATTATTGTTACCTGGATGAAGCAAATTTCCATGGAGCATAAGAGCAAAGACATGGCTGAGTGCAGAGAGGATGTGAGAGATAGAATCGGAGACAGTGACTTGAGGACATTCTTTCCAGAAGTTTGCAATAAGGGGAAGCAGAAAAGGGGGTAATAGGTAGGAGAAGGGTCTTAGAGAAATTCCTCCCCTAACCCACTGCCCCTACCACCATGGGTCATCCATTTTATGCTGACGGGAATGATTCCATGCAAGGTTGAGCACTGCCCATACAGGAAAGATGGAGGAATTGCTGGAATAATTTCCTCCATCTGGGGAGAGAGAGAGACAATATTGTGCATGAGAGACGTCAGCCTTAGGCTCACAGATATTCCTTCTGCAGTAAAGAAGGGGAGACATGTGTCCAAGCAGGTGGAGTCTGTTACGAGGCTGCTGGTGGGAGTTTGTAGAAGTTCTCTTCTGGTCACTTCTATGCTCTCCGTAAATTTGGAACAGACATCTTTTCAAATTGAGGGTTTTAAGTGGAGTGTCAGAATTCCTAAGAAAGAGTAGTGACTACCAAAAGTATGTGTAGACTACCAAGAGTGGATGCATTTTGGAATGCAGTGCATTTCCTGGAAAATGGTAAGGACCCTTGAGGTTAGTAGTCAAGCCTTCAAATCAAGGCAGTGGGCATGGACTCAGCTGTCTGTGCTGGGACCTGGGACAGGGGAGGTCTAGGAAGGGGTAGATTTAACCGGGATTGGAGTTATGTCAGGTGATTAAAACAGTCAGAAAGGAACAAGTTGAGGGGAAAATGCAGGGAAGACGTCTAATCTGGTTAGCTTTTTACTTCAATTTTGATAATCTCATTTCTCAATACTTTCATTGTTTTCTAAGCTACTTAAAAAGCTTTGGTTTTCTCAACAAAATGTTGGCATATGTAAAGACCAGCCACTGTGCAGGGTCCTCTCTCCCTGACCCCAAGTTTTATTGAGATATAATTGGCATATAATTTTATGTAAGTTTAAGGTATACATTGTATACCTTTTGTTACACTACATACTGCTAAATGGTCAACACCTCCATCATGCCACATAATTACCTTTTTTTTGTATGTATGGGGAGAGCATTTAAGATTTACGCTCTCAGTAATTTATAAGTATGTAATATAGTGTAATTAATTACTATTACAATTCTGTACATTGGAATCCCTACCCTATTCTTCTTAAATCTATAAGTTTGTGCTCTTTGCATTTTAACAACTAATGTAGCGATTTAAACTTTTATTTTTAAGTAGCTCTGTTATCTTTTAAGCATAATTCATTATTCTAAAATTTGTCCTATATGCAGTATAGATAATTTGGTTCTGTTCAAGTTTCAGAATTAGAGGGCTGGTTCCTTTTGTGTGGTTCTCAGATGTAGGAATTTTACACATAATGTTATTTTTCTAATGTGCATATCAGCACTGGGTCAACCTTGCTAATTCAGAAATATTATGACTCTTAAAAGTGCATATGAACAAACATATTTAAGATCACAGTCATGGAGTATTAATTGAAAATTATGTGTTGTGGTACAAGCAGGAAAAGTATGTTTTCATAGGATCTTTGTTCAAAAAAAGGGGGGGTTACAAACCTAAAATATCTAAGAGTGCCTGCCCTGCCTAAGGATGGGGATGCTATAGAAACTTCTGTTTCATAAGCGTATGAAAACTGTAAGCGTATGTAAAGTGCTGTTATAAGTAAGGTTGAAAATAGAAAGCAAATTAACTGTATTAAAAGGTAACATCACTACATGAGTCATAGCTTTGCCTTTGATTCTCTTTGGACAGCTTTATAAAAAGCTCAACACTCATGTGGCCTTAGTTGGGATGGAAATCTGGAATGATAAGGATAAAATAAAGATAACCCGAAATGCAAGCTCCACCTTGGAAAATTTTTCTAAATGGAGGGGGAGTGTGCTCCCCAGAAGAAAGCGCCACGATATTGCTCAGTTAATAACGTATGTATATATTGTACTACGTGTGGTATTTAGTGTAGAAACTTTTCAAAGTTTTAGCAAAGCAAGTGATATCTCAGGGTGTAAGATAATAGAAAGTCTTTTACAGTTAGAGGATTAAAATATTGAAAGTACTCATTTGGTTTATGTTTAATATGGTCTATAAGATAATAATTTAACAATGACTTATAAGAACATTTCTGTTTTTATTGATGATACAGAAAGGAAAGACAGGCTTAAATAATGGGGATTTAGATTCAATAACTCATTTAGCTTTGCATTAGCTGACAAACTTTTAGGATAGAAATAAAATTGAATTTTATATTCCAACTTCACATCTCTACCATCCTGCTAGAATGGCTAGTTTAAAAAAGGGAAGGAAATTAATGACTATAAATTACACAAGAGTTCTGAGCATAAGCTTCCAAAGATATCAAGACAAATTTGCTGCATAGTTTGCCAATGAAAGCAACAAAGAGTACTTAAAATTAATTGAGTTTCACTTCCTAAGAAAACTGTGGGTGGCCTGGGAAATAAATGGACTAGGTTTGTGAGAAGTAATATTCTGTGCTGCTTATATATCATTGCATAACAAATCAGCCCCAAATCCCTGACTTAAAATAAGCCTTCATCACTTACATGTCTAATATTTTGCATGATAAGGCAGGAGCAAGGGGGCTGGTTGGTCATCTTTTTCTATATGGAAACTTTCATGAGGCTAACTTGGAATTCTTCCTAACTGGCAGTGTCAGGGGGTTTGGACTTACTGCAAGGTGACTAGCTTTCCCCATGAAAAGCCTTCTAAAATTTGATCCAGGAGAAAGCTTCAAGGCTTGCTATGGTCAAATCTTAAAAATCAGTGTCATTTTTAGACTATTTTACTCATCAAGAGAGTGTCACTGAATCAACCCAGACCCAAAGGGAATCCTTTCATAGGGTGTGACTACTGCAAGGTAAGCTGATTGGGCACTTTCTTTGAAGACTAGCCGCTACAGTTCTTTAATTTGGAAATGTAAGTTCAAGACTCAAGGACCCCCCCAAGAAAGAGGTCACTTTTCTGGATAGGCTTAGTTATTTTCTAAGGTCTCCTGGTTAGAAAGAAGTAAGGAAGTTCAGTTCTTACCAAACTGGATCCAGAATCATGCTCAAATTGTGGTGTATTCCATAGTGTGAAGTAATAGGGTAGAGTGATGAAGATTATAGACAAGGGAACACATGGAGAGGATAAAAAAATAGCAATCCAACCTCAAGTGTAGATGCCCTATATAAACCAGAATAAACACAATAAATAAAATCATTAAATATTAAATAGCAGGAAAAAATTGTCCCTCCAAATTATATATTGCAAGTCTTACCATTCACCTGACAAATAAACAAAAGGCTCCTAGACATAATGAAGAGGAACCAAATTAGTTAACTCCAGAATGGGATAGATTTTTTAGTAGTGAGAATTAGAACTGGGCAAATACAGTCTTAAGTGTAAATAACTTCGCAATATCATTTTAAAAGGAGATAGAAATACAACAATCTTTAAAAAATTTTGTATAAAATAGAAGATATATAATATTACAATACATAAAAATATGAAAGTAAAATATATAAATATAAAAGTATAATTTCAGAATAGCAGATATCTGAAAACCCCATAAGGAATGAAAATGAAGGTCTCTAATTTCCTCTTTTTGCATTACAAAATCAATACTCTCCATCTTTGATATTGATAAGTGGGAAAATATGGGTTCAAATTTTATGTAAGTACATCTACTATGAGAATTTAATATGTAACTTCCTGCAGGTAAACCAAGGCCAGGATATTCAACAGAGAGAATAATAATAAAGAAAAGTTCATGGGATCATTACAAATTGAAACCAAAACAAAGCAAAACCAAACAATGAAATTAAATTACCTTGGGCCAACATTATCTATGTAAATAAATGTAAATAGTTCAAGATATTCTTGAATAGGACAAATATTTCAATATTATAAACGCTTCAATAACAGAATACTTTCAGAATGGACCTAACTCTGTATCCTTCTGTAGCTAAAAACGCTAAAGGAAACCAAAAAGTAAATGGATATAAAGTTATATGAAGAAAATATAAATTAAAAAAAAGCATATGGGGCAATACTAATTATCAAAATAAGATATTTATTAGCACAAAAACACACTTTATTTTTTGACAAGGGATGGATTCCACAATGAAAAATGTAATTATGAATGAGAGATATAAAAATATTAAAACCAAACATTCAGGCAGTTGGTTTTCTGCTGATATGAGAATCACTGCATTAAAGAAAAATCCCTCCTGCTAATTACAGAACTGAAGGGAATACCAAAGTGGTGATTCACAATGTGAGTTTCTCTGCTCATTATTTAGAATTTTGAATGAATTGTCTATGGAAAATATATATTTGAATCATAATTTATTGTATCAATTTCATTATTGCAGTGCAACAAAACTCTCTGGAACCACTGTGGGTCTGGCTTTCATGTCTACAATGTGTTCTCCTTACCATTCTGTCGGCATTGTTCAGGTTGGTTTGGAAACATTTGATTCTACAATCCCAATCTAACAAACGTTGCTTTTGTTTTCTGAATCTGTTGAGAAGATCATGTAGTTTTTCTCCTTTAGTCTACTGACATGGTAAATAATATTGATTAATTTCAAATCCTGAATCAATCTTGCATATCTGGAATAAACCCAACATGGTCATAATATATTGCTGGATTCAACATGCTAGTATCACAAGGATTTTGTGTCTATAGCTGTCTTTGCCTGTATTTACTTTTTCAGATATTGCTATTAGGGTAACTATCAGCATAAATCTGGTCAAGTAAAATTATGTCTTCCCAACTCTTCAATTTTTTTCAACATTTGAAGAAAATCAGTATTAGTCTTTCCTAAAATGTTTAATGCAATTTATTAGTAAGACTGTATAAACCTGACATGAAAAGATTTTCAACTACATATTCAATCTTCACTCAATAAAGGACTCTGCAGGATACCTACCTCTTCTTTGAGTAAATCTTGATAGCTTGTGTCTTTAACGAAAGTTTTCCATTTCATTTAAGTTGACATGTTTGTTGATGATATGCCTCTATTATGCCTTCACTATCTGTAGAAACTGTAGTGATGTTCCCTCTCTTACTCATGATAAGAGTAATTTGCATCTTATTTTTCATGGTTAATCTGGTTAAGGTTAAGAATTTATCAATTTTATTGATCTTAAACATGTTTTGCCTCATGCTTTCTCTGTTCTTCCTGTTTTCAATTTCTTTGATTTCTGCTCTTGATTATTGAATTTCTTGTTTGCTGTATATTGAATTTTTCTATTATTGATTCTTCTGTTATTGTTGTTTATTTCTATCACAGTCTGCATATTCATTTGTTAGGGCTGCTATAAAATACCACATACTGTTATAAGCAACATAAACATATTTTCTCACAATTCTGGAGTTGTAAATTCAAGTTCAAGGTATCTGCATGTGTTTCTTCTGAGATCTCTCACTCTTTAACTCACAATTGGCTACCTTTTTGCTGGAACCTGACATGGCTTTTTTTTTCTGTCCTTATACATTGCTGGTGTCTCTTCCTTTTCTAGTAAGAATAGCAGTCTTACTGGATAAGGCCCCCACCATTCTGACTTTTTTAACCTTAATTACCTCTTTAAAAGCCCTGTTTCTAAATGTGGTCATAGAGGACTAGAGACTAGAGCTTGAATATATGAATCTAGGGAAGGCACGTTTGTCCCTAACAGTCTGAAAACATTGAATAGAATTGAAGTATTTTAATTTTTTTTTGAGGTTTGTTCTTAGTCAATGTTGCATAAAAATCTGGAAAATACATATTTTCTGATGTTGTTAAATGGAATGTCTGTTATCAAAAAATACACAGGTTTTTTTTTAAATCTTTATGCAAAGAACGTGGTTAAGTATCCAAGTATAATTGTGGATTTGTTTGCTTCTTTCTTCAGTTCTGTAAGTTTTCACTGCATATATTTTGAAGTGCTGTTGTTAAGTGAATACACAGAGTTATCATGTCTGTTGGAGAATTAATCCACTTATTATTTCCTTCCTTTTTCCTCCCTGAAACATTCCTATTTGAGATCTACTTTGCTTAATAGTATAGTTGCTCCAGCAATTTCTGGCTAAAGTTGCTAGTAGACAGCAGGTATTTGGATTTTACTATTCCATCTAATCTGACAATCTCTTTTCTAGGTATAATTAAATCATTTGCTTGTAAATAAGTATTGATATTGTTGGAGTAAAAATCTTCGATATAGTCTATGATTTCTGTCTTTAGGTTGGATTGAGTATTTAAAAATAATTTCATTTTTCTCCATTATTAGCTTTTTATTAATATTTACATTTGTTTTGTTATTTTATAGAGTTTATTATACTTTTCTGCTTGTCTGCTTACCTTGTAATAATATTAAACTGCTTCACATGTAGAGTAAGGACTTTTAAGAGTACACCTCTGACTACTCCCTTGCATCCTTTGCACTATCTTCATATGTTTAATTTTACATGCAACATAAATGTACAGTTTGTGGTTGCTCATTTTTTTACAGTGCATTTTAAAGTCTTAAAAAATAGTTTTATGTTTACCTTCACTTTATCTTAAACACTCTTCTTTCTTAGAAAATGTTTCTATCTAGTATAACTTTTCCAGAGTGAATTTTTTAGTATAGAATGAGAAGGCTGAAGCTAAAATTAGTCCTTCTACTGCATGACAGAAAAAATATTTAGTTATATCCTGAGTGTTAATTCAGTTTGCAAGCCAAAGTATCTGTTTCTTTGTTCTTATCCTTAGGACCACAGTGACAACATGCTTAGAGTTGCAGGGACAATGGCCCATGAAATGGGCCATAACTTTGGAATGTTTCATGACTCCTATGTTTGCAAATGCCCTTCTACAATATGTGTTATGGACAAAGCATTAAGGTGAGCCCTTATGGGAACATGCTATTTATCCCTGTTTTGGATTCACCTGGGCTGTGATATGGGCTTCTGTGTCACCTTCAACAACATGTTTAGGCTTTTAAATTACTAAGTAGCAGTGTCGGGGCATAGTCATGATTGTGTCTATACCAAGTCACCTTATATCTCATCTATATGAAACATTATTATTAACTAAGATACAGTTTAAGCTATTGTTTCATGTTGTTGAGATAACTTGTCATCTTGTTTTCATCTTATAATAAACCTGGCTTCAGAAAAGCATTAGAATTTAACAAATTTTCAATAAATTCAGAATGAATTTATAGTAGGGAAAAAAGTTCTATGAGAAAAACCTAATTAAAGGAGAAATTTCTCATAAGTGATGAAGAGTCTATAAAGAGTTTACACATTTCTGACATGCCTTCACAAAATTGGTAGGGAATATTATTTCTCAAAATCCCTCAAAATGCATACAACAACAACAAAATGAATAACCTAATCAAAAAATGGGCAGAAGATCTAAATAGACACTTCTCCAAAGAAAGTGTACAAGTGGCCAACAGGCTCATGAGAAAATGCTCATCATCACTTATCAGGCACATGAAAATCAAAATCATGAGATACCATTTCACAGCTGTGAGAATGGCCTTTATATTCAAAAAGACAAGAATCAACGAGTGTTGGTCAGAATGTGGAGAATTTACACAGATTTTACATTCTGTGGGAATGTAAATTGATGCAGCCTCTATGGAAAACTGTGTTAAGGTTCCTCAAATAATTTAAACTTAGAGCTAACATAAGAGCCAGTGATTCTATTTCTAGGCATCTATCTGAAGAATGTGAAAATACTAATTCAAAAAGATACACACAGTTCTGTGTTCATTGTGGCACTAGTTACAAGTCAATTTATGGAAACAACTTAAGTGCCCATCAAAGATATAGAAGATATGGCATATATACACAGTGGAATACTATTCAGCAACAAAAAAGAAGAAATCTTGACATTTTGACATGGATAGAACTTGAGATTGTTCTACGTGAGATAAGTCAGAAGGGGAAAGACAAATCCTGAATGATTTTAGTCATATGTGGAATACAAAGAAACAAAAACAAACAGATCAAACAAAACCAAAACAAATCCCTGAATTCTGACAAAAGAACTAAGGTTACCAAAAGGAAAGGGGGGTATGAGCAAATGATAGAGGGGGTTCAATGGATTGTGGGTGGAAGGCTATTAGTACTTCAGTGGTGGGTGTGGTATGATAACACATATTTGAATAAATGTGAACCTGTACTCCTAACACATATAATGGTGTACAACAATGGTAACTCAACAAAAAAAAAGGAAAAAAATAAGTCCCATCATACTTTGATATATTAATTCCCTCTTTTGTATTTCCCTCTCTGAAATCACTCGTTAGTCTCCCATGCTCTTCGCAAAGAAGAGTATATAACTCTTTCATCTCTCAGGTTATGGTTCCTAAATGTTACTTCATTTTTAGACTTCATCTTTATTTGTATAAAAAGATATTGTGTCCATAAGAAGGAATTATTAATTAATGATTATTAATTGTTAGACATGTAATAATTGCAATTTTACTACCTTTAAGATATCACAACCAAAACAACATAAAGTTGAGTACATTTTCTGGGTAAGTTAGAAGCATTTTTATTTTATTAAATAACATTCTGAATATGACCTTGAGATATGCCATATTTGCTCTTTAAGTTTGTGTCCACCCAGGCACACAAAAGAGCTCATGCTTTCGTGAGCTCAGTGGGTTTGATTGAGCTCTGGGGCAAGATCGGGTGTATCATGTCAAATATCTGACGTTGCTCTGATGTGCTCCGCTTTGTCTTTGCTTATCTTCACAGCTACTATATACCTACGGACTTTAGCTCTTGCAGCCGTGTTAGCTATGACAAGTTCTTTGAAGATAAATTATCAAATTGCCTCTTCAATGTTCCATTGCCTACAGATATCATATCTACTCCAATCTGTGGGAACCAGTTGGTAGAAATGGGAGAAGACTGTGACTGTGGGACCCCCGAGGTACCAAGTCCTTTTGAAAAAGATCTAGTTTTTCAATTGCCAAGAAGATATTGTATTGATTATGTTCACCTGTAGGTATTTGTCAGGCCTGCTTTCCAAAAATGAAACATGAATGGCTTAACAGACCTTCTTAATTTCCCTGGGTTCCTTCCCCAACCCCTATCTATAAATTCTACTCATCATCCAAGAAATAATCCAAGCTTCTGTGCTCCTGCACCTACTGAGCAGTTAATCTCAGCACAGCTGGGTGACGGTGCTCAGAATGGAGACTACTTGCCCAAGATCACTGGCCTGGCAGGAGGAGGAGTCACAACTGTCATCAGGTGTGGTTGTTTCTGAGTCCCAGACCCTGCCCTGGGCAGTAGCCTTCTCTTACTGCTTCAGGAATCAGGAATTGTTATCAGAAGTGCCTTTCCTGATCCCAACCTGTTCACAGGGTGCTGGGATTCTGAATGGGCCATTTGCCCCATCTTATTTTTTAAAAAGATTTATGTATTTATTTATTTATACAAGCACTGGGTACAGTCAGAAGCACGGGAAGGTGAGAGAATTCACCAGAGTCAGAGCAGGGAGCAGAACAGGCCATATGGTACCCTCCTCCGGTGGCGGGGGATCTAACCTGCGCTGCAGAGGCTGCAGGCAGCTTTGCAACCCAGCGCTCAACTGCTGCACCACCAGAGGAGGCCCTGCCCCATCTTATAAACACTTAATGTGAGCAATACTCAAGCCTCAGTGGAGTGACCTTTTAGTAATTTCAAAATGGTATTACAAATTTATTCAACCAATGAGGAAGAATAACCTTCCTTATAAGTATATATTTCACTTATATTTTAAATAAAATCAGCTGTATTAACCCTAAAACTTTGTAAGTTTCATCATGGTTCTTCTCTATGGGGATCTAAATGGGAAGATTCTCAAGTATGAGTTTTCCCAATGCCTTAGTTCAAGTGGCTGATTCTTTGGATATAAGGGAGGGAAAGCAAGGCAGAGTGTATTACTTTACACAGAGTTAATTTAAATGTCAAAAATAAAGAACTATAGATTTTCAGTACATGTTCTAGAGATTACATTAACTGTTGGGTGGGTACAAAACTGATGAGTTGAACTATGTTTTAACATTTAGACAAATTTTATTTTTAAAAAGCTCTTTTTTTTCCTTCTGCTTTCTCTCATATTTTACCAAAATGAGATCATTTCCAGTGTTACTAAGGAAGACTAGGGGCATTAGAAAAGATGTTCAATTTTTTTTTAAAGGATATAAGAAGAATATAAGTAGAATATAGATAAATGATAAACCAACCACCAGTTTTTCTAAAATCTTAGTTTTTTTTTAAATGTTATACTGTGTTTCATCTTTTATTTTCCTGATTTTTTTTCAAGCTGTAAGGTCTGTGAGATGCATAAATTATGTTAAGATTTGTGCTAAAAGGAGGCCAAAAAGAAATCCCACATTTTAATTTGTTTCTGATATTTCTTAGGAATGTACCAACATTTGCTGTGATGCAAAAACATGCAAAGTCAAAGCACATTTTCAGTGTGCACTGGGAGAATGCTGTGGGAAATGTCAGGTAAGATTACTGTTTCATTCTATCTTATTTATGATGGCCCTGGATTTTTTCTGTATTTTAAAGCTCAGGGATTGTATTTAATGAAATAAGCAAAGCAATATTTTTCTGTCTATGAAATTGCGCTATCCACTAATCCAGCCCTCACTTAGTGCTTTACAGACATAGCCTATTTGATCCTCCCACAACCCCTTGAGGAAAATATTATCATATCATTTTTCTTTTGAAGGAGCAAAGTACAGAACAGAAAATCTACTAAACAACAGAGCCACTACTCAATAGTAAATTCCACATAAGAGTGGCCCCAAAGTCCATGTCAGTCTTCCCAACCTCTTCTGCTCCTCATGCCATCTGGCTTCTTAAACCAAATCATATAGCAGTGATTGCAAATTCTTTGATATGTTTAATGGAAAAACTTATTTTTAAATAATGAGGGGGCTCCCTACCTTCAACTTTTAAAGTCACCTCAGGATGAAATTCTTAGGCTAAGAATATTAAATGAGAATGCTGTGTTATTTTCTCAATGGAATTTTTTTTCTTGGACTCCTAAAAGCAAAGGAATGATTTTTCTTCAGTTAGTACAGAATTTTATACATTAGTAACTGTGGGATGAATGTGTAAGTATGCAGATGGTATCCCAGGTTATGGGCCGTGTTTGGGATAGAATTTTTTTTTTTCAATGTCAGAGGGAGAGGAAAGAAATACAGGAGGCCAAAAGAAGAAAATCTGAGAACTTAGTTATAATTCAACAAGTGCTTATTAAAAGCTATTGTTAGATAAAAGCAGTCTTTGACCTCAAAGAACTTATTCCATTAGGACAATGATATGCACACTTGAACAGAAGAAAATAAGTGATTAAATTCCCAGGTCAATAGTATGAGTTTTGTTTCATGCCCTCCACATATATTCTCACTTAAATTTCACAATAAACCTCATACAGAAGATATTAGAGTAGGAAATGGATTTTCAGAGGGATTAAATTTGCTTTCTAAAGATAAATACCTGCCACTAGAGCAAGATTCAAACCTGTATCTTCTAAATTTGAATTCTAGGCTCTTTTCCTATTACATGCAGAAAACAGGAGCAGCAATTTGCATTAAAGAAGTCAAAAGAAACTTCATGAAACGTGAGATTTCTTACTTAGTCTGAAAGCAATAAACAGATTTAAAATAGGTATACAGAGAAAGAAAAAAAATCCAAATGAGAAGGCTGAAAGCGAGAACAAAGACAGAACAGAAGGTATAAGCATGGTCTGTGTGACAGCTGATGAAGGTGAATCTGACCAAGGCAGTGGCCATTGCATTTGGAGGATCTCATAAGCTCCAATTCAAATTTAGATTTTCTTCTGGGTCACCAGTATAAATATATTGAATTTTTTCTTTTCTTCATTTTTTCCCATATGAGAGCATGTTTGATTTCTCCAAATAGGGAAAGAGATGCTTCCAGTGTACACACAGTTCTCTTCAAATTCACTTTCAAATTACAATTTGTTCTAAGATTGCTCTAATGATATAAAGATATAGCTTGTAGTAATAAATTGCAATTGAATTAATATATCAAATGACTCTCTCATGATAAATTATTCCATAGGAAGAAGTGAGTTAGAAAGAAATAGTCAAATATACAATAAAAAGAACTCGGGGTTAGGAAATGTGATGCCTGGGAAAGTTTCCAGAGCATGCTGACTGGGCATATGTAAACTTATCTTTGTTAATACAGAAGATTCACGTCAATAAATCTCTGAAATTGTAGGTTTAAATCTCCAAGAAAATCTTGCAAAGACGGAGTCAACAAAAAGAGTAATAACTTCCTTCTTTGCATTTAAGATGTTGCTTGGTTTTCTGCACTCTTCTCATTGACGTTTCTGTAGTGTTGGTACTACACATTCAGAAATATTGATTGCCTTAAAGATTTAACAGCCTTGGTTAAAGTCAAAGAAGTGATATTGTAAGATAGCTTTAGTTTATACAAAGCAAATGTAAATTTGGGTAGAATGATAGAATGATTGGAATGGAATGATTGTCAAAGACCAAAGGGAAAACATTATGTATTAATAATTTGAGAGGTTGGGTGGAATATAGATTACTCTCCTTCTTTATTCCCCTACAGTTTAAAAAGGCTGGTGCAGTGTGCAGACCAGCAAAAGATGAGTGTGACCTGCCAGAAATGTGTGATGGTAAATCTGGTATTTGCCCTGATGATCGATTCCGGATCAATGGCTTCCCTTGCCAAAATGGAAAGGGCTACTGCCTCAAGGGGTCTTGCCCCACACTGCAGGACCAGTGCACCCAGCTGTGGGGATCAGGTAAGAGCAGACTCCAGCATTGAGCACTCCTGCCTCCCTCTGCAAATTCCTGTCATTCCAGGTGATACATCATTACCAAAGCAATATTCTGCTTCATTCTCCTTTCTTAGATTCTGTATTGTTGCTCAAAATCACAATTATGGATGTTGTTTTAAATGAATAAAAATAAGACTGGCCCAGTTAAATTTATACTTTACAATTTTTAAAGGTGTATCTTTTTTTTAAAGATTTATTAATTTATGCATACAAGAATGGGGGTACAGGCCAGAGATGCAGGGGTGAGACAACTCACCAGAGACAGAGTAGGGAGCAGAACAGGCAGACTGACTGAAATACACTGCTGAGTGGAGCAGCAGGCGAGACAGGAGAGGTCTGCTGTGCCATGTGGGTATCTCCCTGGCTGGGATTAAACTCGTGCTGCAGAGGCTGCAGATAGCTTCATAGGTTGCGTCTTAACCCCTTGCGCCACCAGGGAGGCCCCTAAAGATGTATCTTATGTAATATTTTAGGTGGACTTACAATAAAAAATAATTCTGTTTATCTGAGAGTCAGCCTGAATTTCCACAATTTCATTTTTTAATAGAGAATTGGAAAAATGCATGTACAATCTAAAAGGAAGCTTCTGTAGTCTTTTCCTTAGCAATTATAGCTAGGAATATTAATTTATAAGGTTTTTCACTCAATTATTTTTAAATGATGGTGCATAATTAAATTGGCTAGTTCAAGAATAAGAAACAGTCAAATAAATTATAGCATATGTAGCCAATCCAGTACTTAATAGCTTTGTTATTATTTAATGCCTTAGGGAAAGGAAGCAATTATATTGTTTTATTGTTAATTGGGATAAAGTAACTTATAAAGCAGCTTGATACTGAATATGGCTATATGAACAATACTTTTTACAATATTAGAGTAATAAATCTGAAATTTGGGATTAATGATATCCTTTTTCCTAATTATCTATACCTCATTCATTATTTCATTGATGATATTTATTATAATAATAAAGAGCCTATAAATGTTCTAAAGATACAGTGAGAACATTTGGTAATAAATGATCATCCTACCTATTGAAACATGAAATTCATTTAAAATGGTTTGAGTTTAAAAAATTATAATAGGTTTATTACTTTTTCTTGAAACCATTCAGTGCATTATCTTCAATTTCTAAAATTAATTGTTTTTTTTTGTGTTTTTTTGTTTTTTGTTTTGTTTTTGTTTTTGTTTTTTTTGTGGGACCCTCGCCGGCGGCTGGGGAACAAACTGGCGCTGCAGAGGCTGCAGGCAGCCTCACAGCCCAGCACTCAACCGCTGCACCACCAGGGGAGGCCCTCTAAAATTAATTTTAACATAGTTTGATGGTTATTCACAGACTAGATTCAAATTTTCCTGGTCTTACATTCTGATCTTAAATGGGGACAATCCAGAACAGAGAAGGAACACAAGTGTTAGACTTAGGTAGAAATGGGTGTAAAATCTGATCTTTCTTTCTCTGTATGATTTAATCAATATGATCCTCCATTTCTTTGTAGATAGATGGGAATGATGATAATAATGGTTAGTACATACTACTGACCAGCGACTATTTTCTCTGTTAAAATATATATATATATATATTTAACAGCATTGCTCATTTTGTACAGTGTATGCTTGTATGCTTTCTCCTCTCAGGTATATTCCCTGTAAAATTCCCACCACCAATTTACCCATGAACCATCACCATTTTTGATCCCTCTGCCTCCCCCTCCCTTGCAGAATGTCTCTGATTTATAGTTGCCTGCTTATTTTTTTATTATTGTTATTTTTTTTCTTGATCCCTTATCTAGTCCCCTGTATTCCTCCTATAAGTGAAACCATCTGATATTTTTCTTTTTCCTCCTGGCTTATTTCACTGAGCATAATCCCTTCCAGTTCCATCCATGTTGCTGTGAATGGCATAAGTTTATCTTTTTTGATTGCTGAATAGTATTCTGTTGTGTATGTATATACCACATCTTCTTGATCTAGTCATCTATTTTTGGGTATTTGGGTTGTTTCCATATCTTACAGGGAAATGCAAATCAAAACCACAAGGAGATAGCACCTTACACCAGTGAGAATGGCACATATTAAAAAAACAGGCAACAAATATTGGTGAGGATGTGGAGAAAAAGGAACTCTTCTACTGGTGGGAAGGAAAACTCTCTAACCACTATGGAAAGCTGTGTGGAATTTCCTCAAACTACTTAAAATGGAGCTACCATATGACCCAGCAATTCCACTCCTAGGAATCTACCCAAAGGACACAAAAACATTAATTCAAAAGGATACCTGTGCTCCTCTGTTTATTGCAGCACTATTTAATATCAATTATTGCAGGCAATATTTCTAATGGTCAATTGGTTTAAATTAAAATAGTGCTTCTAATGATGGTTTTATATATATCGCTAGTCCTTTGTAACATTGGATTTCTTATCTCTTTTCTTTTCAAATATGTCCCTACTGATCATGCCTGGTCTCAGGGAGCCAGGTTGCTGACAAATCGTGTTATAGCAGGAATGGAGGTGGGTCGAAGTACGGGTACTGTCGCAAAGTCGATGGCACACGAGTTCCTTGTAAAGCAAAGTAAGTGCCCTTATTGTTTGAACTTTCCTTCTCCATAGACTTAGGGCAGAAGCACACCCCAACCATACATTATGCTTTATTCATTTAAATTGAAAGTAAATTTGAACATCATTCATTTGATAAACATTATTGAGTGACTATTGAGTGAGCCATGATTAGGCTAATTCTGGGTTTTTAAAAAATCAAGTAAATGATCTCTTTCTTCAAGTCCCTCATGTTGAATAATTCAGAGGATACCAAAGTACGCATTGTAGAACTGAATGCATATTTGAGCAAAAACATGGTTTTTCATTTAATATTTTCCATGATGATTCTAGAGTTAGATGAAAAATCAGTACAATGTTTGTATAGTTTTATTTAAGCTTGCCATGTAATTACATAAGGAAAACTCTTAGTAAGAGAAAAGATTGAGAATTACCTAAAGAATTTATTTTACTTTTCATATTTATATTACGGAAAAAATTACAAAAGCAACCAAGCTATTCTGCATACAAGTTAACTTAATAAAAAAAATAATAACAGTACAAAACACAACAAAGCAAAAACGGACAATTATAAACCAGCAACATCCTGCAGGGCAGGAGGAGGGAGAGGGATCAGAGGGAGGGGGGGAGGAGCACAGGGGACTGAGGTGATGGTACACGGGTGCCTTGGGGAAGGAAACTCTATGGGGACTACACCTGAGGGGGTGTGGGGGGAAAATAAAATGAAACAGCAAAGGAAAAGACAAAAATAAATAAAGTATCTCATAATCTTTAAAAAAAAACTTAAACCAGAAAGTAAAAATGGAAAAATCATATTTGAATAAAAGAAATTTAATTTTAAAAAGTGACTTAAAATTGTAATGGATTAACCTCTCTATCTGCTCTAAATAATATATAGCAAGAGGTCAAGCAAGATCAACATTTTTCAAAGTTTTTTTTTTTAAATACTGCATGTGAATCTGCAGTATTTTGCTTACATTCAATGCTTTTATTATTAAGAAGAATGGGTGAATTGATATTAAAGAGAACTAGCAATCTCTGCTGCAAAGAGAAATACCTTTAGTTACATACTGATGGTCAGAAGGCTGATTAACATGTGTATAACAATGTATTTTGGAAGGTGGTATTTCAACTGTAGCAAATTTTGGCTTTTCCTCAGTGATGTCATGTGTGGGAAATTGTTCTGTCACGGTGGATCAAATAACTTGCCCTGGAAAGGACGGATAGTAACCTTCCTGACATGTAAAACATTTGATCCTGAAGAAAACAGTGAAGAAATAGGCATGGTAGCTAATGGAACTAAGTGTGAAAACAAGAAGGTTAGTTCAGGTTGACTTTTACTTAAAATACTGTGTTGTCAGAAAAATCATGATGCATTTTTCTTTGAATGACTTTTCCAACAATCCAGTATCCTTTTTGGTTTTTGTCTTGTCTTATTGTTTGTTTCTCGTGGCCTTCTTTTGTATCAAGGAGCACAGCTTTCAGGCAATGTGTATGCCATTCACTTATGCATGCATTCATTTCTTTAGTGGTATTTAATAATGACCTATTGTATATTCAGCACTATGTCATTAATGTAGGAAAATTTTACTGTCCCCAAATCAGTAGGTTTTCAATGATAATCATTCTGATAAGTATAAAAAATTTTTATATAAATGAACATCATTTTAATATTGCAGATCATATGACATTAACATGTTTTCCATGATTTTTTGTTTGGGATGGATACCTTGTATCATGTGCAATGCTGAACTCAGTGCTAAATATTAAGTCTTTATTTTTTTTAAAGATTTATTTATTTATTTATACAAGCACTGGGTACAGTCAGAAGCACAGGAGGGTGATAGATTTCACCAGAGCCACAGCGGGGAACAGAACAGGCAGACCGACGAAACACACTGCTGAGGGGAGCAGCGGGCATGGCAGGAGAGGTCTGTGCGCATATGGGACCCTCGCTGGTGGCCGGGGATCAAACCGGCACTTGCAGAGGCTGTGGGCAGCTTCACAGCCCAGCGCTCAACTGCTGCGCCACCAGGGTAGGCCCTAAATATTCAGTCTTTACAATAACAAAAACAAAGAGAAACCCCACCGACTGGGAGAACATTTTTGCACACAACATTAATGATAAAGGACTGATCACAAAAATCTACAAAGAGCTGATGAGACTCAACAAAAAAAACAAAGAAAATAATCCAGTCAAAAAATTGCGCAGAAGAGGGCCTCCCCAATGGCGCAGCAGTTGAGCGCTGGGCTGCGAAGCTGCCCGCAGCCTCTGTAGTGCCGGTTGGATCCCCGGCAGCTCCCCGGCCACTGGAGGAGGGTCCCACATGGCACGCAGACCTCTCCTGCCACCCGCTGCTCCCCTCAGCAGTGTACTTCTGTCCTTATGCCTGCTCTGCTCCCAGCTCTGGCTCCGGTGAATTCTCTCACCTTCCCGCGCTTCTGGCTGTACCCAGTGCTTGTATAAATAAATAAATAAATCTTTAAAAAAAAAAGTCAATATTTAAAAAAGAAAAAAATGGGCAGAAGAGCTAAAAAGAAACTTCTCTGAAGAGGAAATGCAAATGGCCAACAGGCATATGAAAAAATGTTCAACATCACTTGTAATCAGGGAAATGCAAATCAAAACTACCATGAGATACCATCTCACACCAGTGAGAATGGCACATATTAAAAAAACTAGCAATAACAAATGTTGGCGAGGTTGTGGAGAAAAAGGAACTCTCCTGCACTGCTGGTGGGAGTGCAAACTGCTCCAACCACTATGGAGAGCTGTGTGGAGATTTCTTGACCTACTAAACATAGAGCTTCCATATGATCCAGCAATTCCATTACTAGGTATTTACCCAAAGGACACAGAAACATCAATTCCAAAGAGCACTTGTACCCCTATGTTTATAGCAGCACTGATTACAAGAGTTAAGCTTTGAAACAACCCAAATGCCCAAAAATAGATGACTGGATCAGGAAGATGTGGTGCATATACACCATGGAATATTACTCAGCATTCAAAAAAGATAAACACATGCAATTTGCAGCAACATGGATGGCGCTGGAAGGGATCATGCTCAGCAAAATAAGCCAGAAAGAAAAAGAAAAATACCGGATGGTCTCACTCATAGCAGGAATCTAGAAAACTTAAATAAGGGACCAGGAAAATGAATAACTATAAGAAAGTAAAAATCAAAATCAACAAACAATTATGAACCAGAGACACTCTGTGGGGGGTGGGGGGTGGGGAGGGGAGGGATTGGGGTCAAAATAAGGGGGTCGCAATTGTATGGTGAATATAAAAATAAAATATATAATAAAAAAAATTCAGTCTTTAAAAGCTGGACTTGAGATTGAGTAAGGAAATCACCCACAAGGAATGCAGTAAAATGAGGAAATCTTTAAAGATCCTTTTAAAAATCTTTTATAGTAAAATTACTTAGATATCATCTTCCTAGTTCCTAAAGGATACTGTGCTTTCCCTATTGGAAATATAAGTTTGTAATAGCAATAATGGTTAAACTAAGATTACATTCCAAAGAATCAAGTTTGCAGAGCTGAAGCCTTTGGACTTGAACATCAGCTTCATCTTCACATCTCTTTCAGGTGTGCATTAATGGAGAGTGCGTGGATATGGAGAGGGCCTACAAGTCGACGAACTGCTCTTCTAAGTGCAAAGGACATGCTGTAAGTTCTGAGAATGTTTCCCTCAGCCTGCTCATCCGTACATAATTTTATGTCAGCTTTGATGATGTTAAAGTAGTATTTCAACATTAAATGGTTAAAATTATTGGTCGTTTAACACTAAGTAGTTTGGTTTTCGGTAACTCTTTTCTAAAAAAAGAAAAGACAAAACTAGTAGGCAAACTATAAATAATCAGAGACATGGGGGGTTGCAGGGAGGGAGAGGGATCAGAACAGGGGAGGAAAGTGTACAAGGCACTATGGCAATGATACACCGGTGTCGTGGTGGTTGGAATTTTATGGGGATTACGCTTGAAAGGAAAAATCAAACATTGTACAAAAAATGAAAATGATATAAAATATAAAAAGAAATATATTTTTTACAAAAGAAAAAAAAAGCTTTTCTCAGAACCTAATACTGAAATGTTTATTATTGACTCAACCACTATGTAGCTGGTACAGGCTGTGAAGCAGGAGTTATTCCCTTTTCAGATTGGCTTTGGTTGAAGATGAATAGGGACTGTGCTTGGTGGTCAGTGTGAGGTGGAAACTAACAGGATCTTTGCTCTCCTAGGTGTGTGACCATGAGCTGCAGTGTCAGTGTGAGGAAGGATGGGCCCCGCCTGACTGTGACGACTCCTCCATGGTCTACAGTAGGTGACACTGCCTTCTAACCTGAGAAAACTGTTCTTTTCTTGCAAGCTTTCCTTTTCATTACATAAGATTTATTGCCTATTTTTCCTTCTCTTGGAATGTCTATTCTTTAGACCTTGAATTCACAGTATTAATTTTCATAGTCCCTTTAACAACTTTTCAATCATGTTTTCCATGTCCTTATACCAAAACATTTCCTCAGAGTTTGTATCTGCTATCTTGTTTTCATTTCCCCAATTTTCTTGCTTTATGATTCTTCCATATCATAGCAGCTTTGACCTAACATGCACTGAGATTATTTTTTGTAGGCTTGATTATATTTTCTGAATTATCTGTACTTCTTTGAGGTTTGATTATTCTGTTTTTCAGAACAATCTTGTGTTTCATTATGATGTTTTCCTTCAGGATATGTGACCCTTAGTTGAATGTAGTATTAAGTTGATTTGAATTAGATCACATGGGCTTTCTTTGCATGATTGTGTGTTTGTGTACCTGATGATGTCTAATATGAAATAACTGAGGCTATACTTATTTTGTTGATGTTTTTAACCCCTTTAAAAAATCATTGGTAGTATTTGTACTTACCTGCTTTTAGACTTGCTGTGTAATGAAAACTTATCATCTTGTTATGCTTGGGTGTTCTCATTTTCTTGATTGCTGTCTAGTAAGACTTTTCAAAATGAAGATTTAGTTTTTTCTTCAGTTTAAGGAATGTTTCTATTATTACAAGTTTTAAAGTGGGTTCTGTTCCACTTTTCTGGTCTCTCATTCAGAAAGATAATTTATATGGAATATAGTCACTGTGTGGCCTTCATGTTATTTGTTTTTATATCTCCTTATGGGAGATCTGACTGTTAGCTCTATAGGTAGGCAGGCAGGTTTCCATACAGGTCACTGGGTGGGAAACAACCAGAGTGGGAATTCCCACCTCCAAATTGCCCTGAGGAGAGGATGCTTCAATGCATTTACTCACAGAGAGGGTTGGACTTGCTCAGCTCTCTCCCGATTCTCCCCTCTTCTCATCTGCGGGCATCTGGAATTAGCCTCTGTTCTGCTTCAGGCTCATAGGTCTCCCCATTGCTTCTAGGGAGCAGTTACTAGGGCTTTGTCCTGAGTCGATTCTTGTTCTAGATACACAGGGGATGGGGATGGGGATATGTGTGTGGGTGGGGTCAGGGGGTACCTGAGTGAATCATCTTTCTCCACCTCAGACTCTTTTTTGATTTCCTAGGAAAAAATAGCGTCTGCTTCTGATGATTGGGCTTTTTAAAAGTTTATTGATTCTTTGTTATACTTCCCAAGAAAGAATAGCATTATTTCCAGTACTTGTAGCTATAGTTTACTCTTTTTTCTGTCCCCCTAAATTTTTTATGTCCTATCTTTAATTTCTAAACATTTTTTACTATTTTTCTAGTGATCTATGATTTTATAAATTACATCAAACTAATAAAAAGAGAATAACAGACAAAGCCTGATGATTAGTTTTAATTAAGTAGCTATTTTAAAAGCATGTAAGGAAAAATAAAACTAATGGACTTTATAGGGATTATTTAACAACAACAAACAAATTGTGTAAATATATACAAACACACATGCTATTTCATATTTGTCATCAGGATTTGGATAGGGTAGGGGGATAGATACATAAACATAATCAACTCTTTTAATTAGAAATCTCTTTAAATGACTCATTTAATGCATCATTTGAAATCTCTTTCAAGGCTCATGAAAAATACTTTTAAATTATGACTTCACTCTTCTGGAAATCTTTGTGTGAATTTATCAATTTGCTAAATCATCCCTATGAGTAAATTCTTTTTTCGCAAAGGATGTATCTAATTAAACTTCCTGAGTTTGCATTTATAAGAATTTGTTTCTTTTGCTAATTAGAAAGCATGAACTGTAGGTAGGGTTGGATTTGATTTTTTGAGTCATAGTTTTATTTTCACAACTTTTTGGAAGTAGATACTGATAGCTAATGTGAAATAACTAGGCTACACTAATTTTGTGAGAGCAAAAGAATGGTATTATATCCATAACTTTGAATAGTATGTTAAGGAAAATAACATATAGACCCAGGAATATTTGTTCAAACCATTCCTAATTCTCAGGGTCATTAACATTTTTTCTATACATAATAATTCCGGTCTAAAGTAAACATCAGAACACTTAGTTATAGCTTAATTGGTTTTCTTATTCACGATTTAGCTACTTATTTGCTACTGACAAGAAAATGATTTAAAGCTTCAATTTCTTTTTCTGTTTTGTTCCAAGAATGGATTTTTAAAATGTTTCACTCTTGTTCTGCCATCCTTTATATTTCATATTCTCTCTAATCTCTTAGCTCATCTTCCAATTATTATGAACACCTTAGAATTTGTAGTAGTATTGTGTTTTACTTACGTCATAATAAATGTTGCATATAGATTTCCTTTTTACTTCCTTGATCCAAATATTATTACAATCATCATGGTCAACATACATGTTCATTTTACTGGCTATGAGAGATTTTCCAGGGAATGTATCTTCTTTGAAGAGAAGATAGAATTTGTGCTAACTAAAGAAATAAGGGCAAGCATGATAAGTGTATGTGAATTTATCATATCCTCAGTAGACCTGGGTTCTCTTTTTTGCAGATTTCTCCATTGTGGTTGGGGTGCTGTTCCCCGTAGCGGTCATATTTGTGGTGGTTGCTATAGTAATCCGGCACCAAAGCACCAGAGGAAAGCAGAAGAAAGTCCAGAGGTAAACCTTCATCTTGCTTTGGGAATTTTTGACCTCTGTTGTACTTTAACCTCAAGGGTCTGACCAAATTCGTAAATTTAGTTTTGGTTTCATTCAAATACTCAAAGCTAAGTATGGGTACATTTTTCTTAGACCAGCATCTGGGTCTTTTACTGAAAAATCCTTTCCAACAAAATGTGTCTTTCTTCTGTTAATTGCTATATGTATAGTTATAAGAGTAATAACAACTCATTATTAAATATTTTTTACACTTAAAACAGTATGTAACATTTATTGATCACTATCTTTGTGGCAAGTGCTGTGCTAAATCCTTTCATATATACATTATCTTTTTCAATTTTCTCAGGAGCTTCATGAGGTCATAACTATTCTGTTTTGTAATAAAATAATGTAATATATTCATGTTTAAAATAATCTGACAAGGTGAAGTATTTCATATTTTTACTAATATGAAACGGAAGCTCAGCGACCTTGACCAACATGTTCAAAATTTTACAAAGTAAATGATAAGCCTTGACTTGAACTTAGATCAGTCTTCCACATATGACCTCAATACTACAATATGTTCCTAGCATTATTTAAATATTAATTTATTCACCCCAAATGGGCTTTCAATAAGTATTGAATGAACAAATCATTAATAAAATAACAATTTATATAAAAGTTGTATTCAACAGCATTATTAGGACTGAAGGTTCTGCAGAAAATCAAAAAGAAAGTCAGTGCTGGCGATTGTGAATTTCAGGAAAAGGAAGCCTGATGCATTTCTAGGGAGCAGATGAAAACCCCAGTCAATAAACAAGAATGGTACAGTGGACAAAGGAAGTTGGTAAACTTCTATTGAGTTGTCCCCTCATGGTACAGGAACTGCTAAGTCAAATTATCTGATATGCTTTTCATACCCAGGCCACCATCTACCAGTGGCACCAAAACACACCAACGGAAGAGGAAGCTACAGACAGGGAAGGCTGTCCAGCCCCAAGAGGTGAACCATAAACTCTACTACATTGGCTCCAATTTGTGATTCTCTTACTGTGGTCATTCTGACCTTTATCTATCATTTATATTCAAATCCACCCTTCTAGTTAGTATACAGTAAGGATTGTGGTTTCTGCAACAAAACATTTAGAAAGTTCTCTTTTGTCTGTTGTTAAATGCACAAAAGTCTCCTTAAAATGCAGAGGTTGGCTTGCTGGGGTTCACAAAATGCCAAGAGAATAAAGAGAACAATTATGGCAGATGCCAAGTACCCCCACCCCCTTTGCTCTCTCTCTGTGACTTCACCTTAATTTCCCATTTGCGACAATAATGTATTTTGTGTGACATACGCTTAGCGACTGGTTATACTCTACAGGTTTAGAGGTTTTATCTGAGTTTGCTTTGTGGCAATGGCAATGTTAGTAATTTCTTTGATGGAGACTGGACACAGCAGAAGGCAGCTGCTGGGCCTCAGTGATTTCTTGTCTGGTCTCTTGGTGTCACCTTAGTTCTGATCTTCAAGGCCCTGAAAGGGCTGTTTGTTTGGAAGCTAAAGCTAGGAAACTTATTTCATTTTAAAATATATTTTTAGATGAGGCAGATGAAGAATCATGCCCCAGATGTGCCAGTAGAAGGCAATGAGCCTCCAGCTTCTTTTGTGAGTTATCAACTTTTCTAATATTATTACTTTCAGTCTGACCTCAAGGAAATACTAGTGAAAGTTGTAACCCACAACACCCAACTGTATCTCAGGAAATCTGTGGACTATTAATATAAAATACACATTTTTCTGCCAAACTTTTTTAAAATATAAAATGTGAGGATGGATGTATCTCCATTATGCCCCATTTAAGCCCCTACCCCTGCATAATGGGGCTGCAAACCTGATAGAGTGAATAGTACCAAACTGTTCCAAAAGTGCCATGTTCATCATGTGTCTGTTGTTACTGAGCTTATTTCTGTTGTGTACAAACAATTGAACTGGCAGGTTTAAATAATTCTCATGGGCAGGGTCATCAAGTCTTCATTTCTGAAAGTGATTCAAACTTTTGAATTAAGTACATCTGTTTTCAAGGCCTCACCTTTAATTATTATTTTTTCTTTCTTGCTAGTTAATTACAAAGCCAGATTTTCCACCACCACCAATTCCTACATCTGTATCATCTTCCTCATTCCTTGTAAGTATCAAAAGGTCACTGATGGTTTTTAAAAATACCTAATATGAATCATGTCTTGAAATCCATGGAATCTTTTTCAGGTGCTCCCTAAGTTAACCTGATATGAAGCACATTTGTCCTGAGTATGTCCGACAAGTACTTTTTTCAAGAATTTTTACATTAGTAGTGAGGAAAAAAAGGTCATATCTTTTATAGGGCACTTATTTCCTCAAATATTATTTGTGTTATATTTAGTGATACAAATGAGAAGAATATGATAAATGGAAAATGAATGGGTTCATATTGGTTCAAGTAGGAGGATGATCCATTGACTAATAGGAATTTTAACTAGACACTGAAAGTTGAGTAGAGTTTAAATGTTTGATGAGGAGGTAAGGAATGATTTAAATAAGGGAATGCGTGTAAGATGAAAAATGTATAACATTTTTAATGACCTACCTATTTTTGTTCCTAATATAGCACAGAGACACAAAAGTACTTCCCTCTGTTGCTCTCAAGGACAAAGCAATGTCCACACCTAAGGTAAGAGATCCTGTCAAGCTATTATCATTTGTGCAGCATTCTTAGTATCAAGGAGAAAAGGCCTAACTGTGTCTTTCTAGAATAAGTTAACTAATATTATTGCCTCTATGACTATGGGAGTGGATATTAACACAATGCCTTCCTTGGCCAATACCCATCTTATTTTCTCATGAAGGAGATTTCCCATAAAATAACCACCCAGTATCTCATAACTCTTCTAGTGACCTCACCACCATCTCCATATTACTATGCTAATTAGTTTGACAAATATTTGGATCTGGTGTGGTGTTTAATATTACCTTCTATCCCTACCCTTGTATGGATCTATTCCTTTACTGTTAAATCTCAATTTATTAAAAAGAATTAACTTTATTTTTTTAATAATTTGATAGTTTAGAATATTTACATTTTTAGGAAAAGTTGATCATTTAAAATTTTTTCTTTTTATAGGACTCAAATCCAAAAGTCTGAAACAACAGTTATACAGGGATTGGTGCGTAAATGACCAACATGGATGGTTGGGCATACTGGATGAAAGAGAAATATACTTTCTATACTTCCTGTTATTTGTTCTTGATACCCAGGGAGGTTGCCATTTGTTGATTTGTGGTATACTTTAAAGAGATTATATGAAATTTTTCAAGAGATGCATACCCTTGAGAATCTTTGCATGTATTTAAAATTTCCATTCTATATATTTGTGAGAAGGAAGGTAATTCTTTTTTTATTATTTTTATATTCCCCATACAATTGCAACCCCCTGATTTTGACCACAGTCTCTCCTTTCCCCACTCCCCCAGAAGTGTGTCTCTTATACATAGTTGTTTGTTGATTTTTATTTTTTTCTTTCTTATAGTTATTCATTTTTCCTGGTCCCTTATTTAGGTTTTCTAGATTCCTGTTATGAGTGAGACCATCCGGTATTTTTCTTTTTCTTTCTGACTTATTTCACTGAGCATGATCCCTTCCAGCTCCATCCATGTTGCTGCAAATTGCATGCGTTTATCTTTTTTGAATGCTGAGTAATATTCCATGGTGTATATGTACCACATCTTCCTGATCCAGTCATCTATTTTTGGGCATTTGGGTTGTTTCAAAGCTTAACTATTGTAAACAGTGCTGCTATGAACATAGGGGTACAAGTGCTCTTTGGAATTGATGTTTCTGTTTCCTTTGGGTAAATATCTAGGAGTGGAATTGCTGGATCATATGGAAGCTCTATCTTTAGTAGGTTGAGGAATCTCCACACAGCTTTCCATAGTGGTTGGACCAGTTTGCACTCCCACCAACAGTACAGGAGAGTTCCTTTCTCTCCACAACCTCGCCAACATTTGTTGTTGCTAGTTTTTTTAATATGTGCCATTCTCACTTGTGTGAGATGGTATCTCATTGTAGTTTTGATTTGCATCTCCCTGATTGCAAGTGACGTTGAATATTTTTTCATATGCCTGGTAGCCATTTGTATTTCTTCTTCGTAGAAGTTTCTTTTTAGCTCTTTTGCCCATTTTTTGACTGGATCATTTTCTTTGTTTTGTCGAGTCTCATCAGCTCTTTGTAGATTTTTGTGATCAGTCCTTTATCATTTGTGTTGGGTGCAAAAATGTTCTCCCATTCGGTGGGGTTTCTCTTTGTTTTTGTTCTTGTCTCTTTTGCTGTGCAGAAGCTCTTTAATTTGATGTAGTCCCAGCTGTTTATCTTTGCCTTCACCATCACTGCTTTGGGTGATGTGTCTGTAAAGATGTCTTTGAGGTGCATGTCATGTAGTGTTTTGCCTATATTTCCTTCTATATATTTTATGGTTTCAGGTCTTATGTCTAGTTCTTTAATCCATTTTGAGTTGGTTTTGTGCATGGTGTGAGGTAGTAGTCAAGCTTCATTCTTTTGCATGTAGCGACCCAGTTTTCCCAGCACCATTTATTGAACAAAGTTTCTTTGCTCCAGTACATATTCTTTGCTCCTTTGTCAAAGATTATTGACCATAGATCTGTGGGTTTATTTCTGGGTTTTCTATTCAGTTCCATTGGTCCATGTGTCAGTTCTGGTTCCAATACCATGCAGTTTTGATTATTATGGCTTTGTAGTATAGTTTGAAATTTGGGAGAGTGATGCCTCCATTCCCTTTTTTTTTTTTTCAGGAGGGTTTTGGCTATTTGGGGTTTTTGGTGGCTCCATATGAATTTCATCAAATTTTTTTCTATTTCTTTGAAAAATTACATTGAAATTTTAATTGGAATAGCATTGTATCTGTAAATTGCTTTTGGTAGGATGGCCATTTTGATAATGTTAATTCTTCTGATCCATGAGCAGGGGATGTCTTTCCATTTCTTTGTGTCTCCTTCCATTTCCTTTAACAGTGTTTTATAGTTTTCTTTGTATAGGTCCTTTCCTTCTTTTGTTAGGTTTATTCCCAAGTATTTGATTTTTTTTTGTTTCAATAATAAAAGGAATGGTTTTCTTGATTTCTTCTTCTTCAGGTTTATTGTTTGTAGGAAGGCTACTGATTTTTGTATGTTGATTTTGTATCCTGCCACTTTACTAAACTGAGAGAAGGAAGGTAACTCTTAAAAAAAATTTATGAAACTTAAATCTAAGGTGATTTTTTCCTAGCCATTCCTCCCCTCTCCCCATTTTTAAATTGTGATGTTGACAAATGCTTGTTTAAATATTGTAAACACCTTTATTTTCTTACTTGGTAGGGAATTATAATAATTCACTCTTTAATGAAAACTAAAAGAAAAAAAAGAAGATAAAAATCATAGGAAATTGGGAGGAGATGAAAAAGAGTGTACAGTCATCATTTGATAACTAGCAATATCTTATTGCTTTAACCATAAACTTGTCGAATTAGAAATCTCAGTTAAGAAGAAAAGTAAGTAAACATTCTCTGATTTATATATTTTTCCTATATTATGTTCTGAAATCCTTGTTAACTGTATCATTCAGGCTTTCTAAAACTGAGTAAAACTTTCTAATACATAATCTTTCTATATACAGAAAATTTTAGTTAATTACATAACCCAGAGGTTATAAACTGGTGGCCTGCAGGAAATGTCTGGACTGCAGATGTATTTTACTTGGCCTGAATGATTTTGACCAAATAGTATTTTAATATGTTTTTAATTCATTGCCAATATTTAAAAATTGGGAGAGCTTGCATAAACATCCAGATTTCTGACTTAAAAGTAATCAGATAGTCCGTCAACACAGGAATCACATTGTCCATAGCAACCATCAATTTAGTTGACTAGAGGTAGAGTAAATATTGTCATTTGCCTACCAAATAATACCTCTCTCCTTTGCTTTCAGAACCCCAGTTTTGTTTAATTTTCCATATTTTAAAAAAGACAATCTTAATTCCATTATGTATAAATCCCCATCTCTGTAAATCATTATAACAATCTCGTTTCCCCTAACAGTGTTTGATTTGGAGATGAGTATATGCCACCCCCATCTTTTTTTTTTTTTTTTTTTGGTAATTTCTAGGAAAGACTTCCTTGTCCCCTTTTCTGAATGTTGGCATCTGGATACTTATGGGTATTGCTGCAGCTGTATTGCCATGATGAAAGCAAGACTGATGTAGGCGGAAGAGAAAAATGAAAGAATAAACCTGTTTTTTTTTTTTTTAAGACATTCTTAAACTGGTGGATTAATAACTGCTGGAGCTACCCCATAACTTGTTGAGGCTTCAAGTTATATGACCAATAAAAATTCCTTAATGTTCATGCCATTTCCATTTGGATTTTCTCTTGCTTGTAACAGAATTAATCCTAACTAATAAAATAGCTGCTTGTGATATTAGGATACATACTTTCTACTAAGCAATGCAGCTGTAATTTTCTTATACTTAACCTGCTTCACCCCTCTCTGTCACTGGCCTGACCATTTGAGGCAGTCATTCCCATGAACGACTTTTCCTACAGAAGTTATATGCCTTTGCTGTGTGGGTTTCTAGATAAACTGATTCCGGCCCCCAAAGTGAATGACAATATCCAATAAACCCAGACTCCATCTATCACTCTCATTGAAGGAGTTTTTGTCTTTACATGGAAATTTGCTCTTGAATACATTAGAAAACATAGCTTAATCTCAGTGTGAGGTTTGAGAATATTCTTCCCTAACCCAGAAATGAATCTCTGTATCCTGTAAGGCTATACTCTACTGTGACAGACCTACGAATCCTTATTGGTTTTTGCTGTTTATTTGCTTGCTTGTTCATTTTAATTCTTCTGCCCATCTCATTTTTTTTAAATATGGTGGAAGTATTTATCCTATGAATCCTCATAATTATCCATATGAACCAAACTAGAAATAACCATGTGCTCCCAAGGAGTGGTGTCTGATCATTCTGGTGGGTTATGAAGTGATGCACTGTAGATTCCTAAATCAGATGCACTGTAGATCCTTTTTGAAAATAGATCACTGGAGGAAAGTGACAGGAAGAATATCCTTTAATCACAAGGCTTTGAATCTAACGTATACAAAATTTTGTGATAAGTTGAACTGTAGAGCAGTTTAGACGATTGAAAACAAAGACTTTGATTTCATCTTGTTTCCAACCTAGATCTACAACTTACTAACTTTAAACATACTCCACTGATAACACTATCATGTCAGGTGTGTCACCAGTCTGTTTTAATCATTAATCATTTTTATCCTTTTATTTTAATTTAAGAAAACAGTTTAAGTTATGGTCTTATCCAGGTATTGTTTGACTAGGACACCATAGTTTCTCCAAATATACTTAGCACCTGACCACATTGCTACTTTTTTTAAGTTTTGAAAATGTTTTTAAATTTATGAGAAATAATGAAGCATGCATGAAAAAGAAAGTTTTAGTTACAATCAGAATATAGAATGGATGGAGCTGTGTTGCTATTAAGTTGGTATTAATGACATCTTCCTGATGAGGAACTGAGGCTGCTCTCTGGCCAACAGCCTGCTGAGCCCCTCAGTCCAAGAGTCTCTCAAGGAACTGAATTCTATCAACAACTAATGAGCTTGGAAGCAGACCTCATTCCAGTTGAATATTAACTGCAGTCTTGTGTTTTTCAAGTCGCTGTAGTTTTGGTAAATTTGTTATGCAGCATAAATAACTGATATAATGGAGAGGAAGAGGTTAAATGTTTCAGATATTCCAGATATTTATTTATTTATTTTTAGAGAGTTCTTATTTTATCTATTTTTGAGAGGAAGAACTGGGGTATAGGCCAGAGATGCAGGTTGTGGGAGGATTCACCAGAGACAGAGTGAGGAGCAGAACAGGCAGATCCACTGGAATACACTGCTAAGGGGAGCAGTGGGTGAGACAGGTCTGCTTCGCCACATGTGGGCCAGTTTGCTGGCTGGGAATTGAACCAAGGCCATCTGGGTGATAGCATTGAGACTCAAACCCTTGGCAACCAGGGAGGCCCCTATTCTGGATAGTTCTAGATAGAATTAACCACTAAATATATCAAGCCACCTGTAATATCAAGTATTTTTTTCCTTTCTTCACATTCTCTTTCATTTAGTCTTACCTCCATTTTGAAAGTACTAATTATCTTCTTAAAATCTCTGATATCTAATCTGCTCATATATCATGTTCTCTCTGACTTTTGTTTGCCTATGTCTTGGTATTTTTGAATAATTTTACCTTCCAGAATATTTATTTTATCTTCTTTTTTGTCAATCCTGGCTTTTACCATTTTTTTTAATTCTTTAATGATTTTTTATTAAGAAGTGACATTTATTGAGTACATGCTGTGTGCCTAGAACTGCATTATCCACTGATTTCCTGCAAAGAGTCTTATACCACCTATGACTTTAAGTGTGTTTTAATCCCAAAATGGTTTTTTAAATTAGTGACAGACAATACAAACATCTACTTTCCTAAAGAGCGTCATTGTAAGACAAATTAATATTTTTACATTAAAAAAAAGAAAAGAAAACATACAGATAACAGAATTTAACAGGTATAAATAGAAAAGGGAAGATAATAATGGGCTTTTACTAATTTTATGGTATTTTATAATCATTTCTCATATTTTTAAATATTTTCTTTCCTTTCTCACTTTAGTTTTGTAAAGGTCTGCAAATGAACTGTGTTTCTTTAGTTTCCAGAATTTAAAATTAAATTGATAAATTCTGACTAAACTTTGTTAGTGCTTCTCATTTTCTTTTAAAGAAGTGACAAGTATATTTTATTTATTTATTTATTTTAATATTTATTTATTTATTTATACAAGCACTGGGTACAGTTAGAAGCACGGGATGGTGAGAGAATTCACCAGAGCCAGAGCAGGGAGCAGAGCAGGCAGAAGGACCAAAGTACACTGCTGAGGGGAGTAGCAGGCGGCAGGAGAGGTCTGCGCGCCATGTGGGACCCTCGCCCAGCGGCCGACCGGGGATCGAACCAGCACTGCAGAGGCTGCTGGCAGCCTCTCAGCCTAGCACTCAACCGCTGCGCCACCAGGGAGGCCCTGGTAACTGTTTTTAGATGTATGTCTTTCCTCAGCGCTTGAGTCCTGTGCACCTGGTCCTGTACAGTCATGTCAGAGGGGTTCTACGCCGTCTTCCAGCTGGCTCACTCTTGTGTTTAAAAGTTTTACCTTGGCCTGTAATATCTTCACATTTTATATCTTTCATTCTAGAATTTAGCCCTTAAGTTTAAGCTAAAGAACCCTGGTACACTAGCATTCTGAGAGGAATATGGCAAGAGATGGATCATGAGAAAATCTTCCATGTAATTCTGTGCCTAGAATAATATTTCTTCCTGGCTAGAGTGATCCACCAGGGTCATTTCAGAGGGGCACACCTGATTGAGGATACTGGATTCACTTCATCAAAAAAAAAAAAAATCCTGATACATTGGGACCCTGACTCCAACAACAAAATCTACAACTGTCTTGTAACATCTGCTCTTGAATTTGTCTCATCTCTTCTATTGCTTTCTATCTTCTCTTACTAATGACAGCTTTAGACACTAAGTACCAACCTTGCACAGTCTGCTGTACTGCACAACACTGATACAACATTACCACTACTATTATTATTATGTTAAGAAAGTAATATTATGTGGATACTAAATCCTAAGCACCAGAGTATTATAGCCTGCAATCCATTGTGAAGACTCTCCTTGTTAAAAAGTTAATTCTTTTCTCTATGATACCTTGTGTTTAGGTCCAGACTCATGTTTAATAGATATATTATTAAAAAAATTTTGTGTTAAGGGCCTCCTCTGGTGGCACAGTGGTTGAGTGCTGGGCTGCGAAGCTGCCCGCAGCCTCTGCAGCACCGGTTCGATCCCTGGCT